ATAAAGGTATATATATATTATATTTATAGATAACAAACGGTAGTATTTATCTTTTTTATAATAAAAAATACTAGATATCATTTATAGACTGTATATTATGATTGATGAGATATACAGTCTATAAATGATAATGTTAGATCATTTTTTTTTGTTTTTGTTATTAAAGGGGGTATTAGTTAGAGATATAAATGTTGTAATAAAAGCGGTGTGTAATGTATAAACAATATTGAAATTATTAATAATTTTTTTTTAAATATACTAATTAATAATATTATATTTGTAGATATAGAGTATATATTATATACAATACAGATAAAAATGTTTTTATCTATTTATTGCCCAATTTATATCAATAATAATAATAATAATAATACATTTTTTACATTTTAATTATTATTACAAAAAAATTATTATATAAAACTCTTATATTTTATTAATTGAATAATAGTTTTATTAATGTATGTAATTATATTAGAAATGATTTGATTTGATTTTATTATTAATTAATAAATTGTTGTATGAATTTCTTTATTGATATTTATTTAAAGCAAAAAAATTAAATGTTTATATATTGTAAATGTTATTTATTTTAATACAAATTAATCATTTATAAATATATGATTTATCTAAACAAATATCTATATTCAATATAAATAATAACTAAAAAATATTATAAATAAATTATTAATTTGTTTGCAATTTAGTTTTACAACATATTTATTATATATTTATTTATCGATTAATTCAAAGAAAATAAATTTGGATTACATTTATAAATAATAAAAATTACTAATCAATTATTTAAATGCAATTACAATATATTTATATAAATTTATATTTATATGTTTGATTGTTTAACCTTTTAGTTATATATATATATTATTTGTTATTACATTTATTATGTTATTGTTTTATTTGTTGTACACCCGATTCACACAATTAAAGATTGAAATCATTTATAGTATATATTTAATATTTATCTATTATTTATTTGATTTTTTTGTGTCGTAAAACATTGCTATTTATATATAATAGTTTTGATATTTTTTTTATTACTTTTTTATATATAAATATATACAGTATTACAATATATATTTATAAGATTATTATAATCTTATATATTTATATATACATAAAAATTATACCACCCTTTTTGTGTGTATGTTTTTATTGATATGATTTATCTGTCATATGAAAAAAAATATTTAAAAATTTATTAGGATTTAACCACAAAATAAAACTAAAATTTACACCTAATTTATAATATGACATTTACCTAAATATTATCAAATAAATTATTAATAAAAATTTATTTTTCTCTATTATAAAGATATAGAAATTATACTGTATTTTAATAATTAGTGAATATTGAGAAAAATAAATTTATTATTTTATTTTATTTTGTTATTATAAATATAGTAGATATTTAATAAATAATTATAAATATATATATATATATATATATATATATATATATAATTTATAAGACAAAATATCGGAATTAAAATAAATATGTGTATGTTATAAATAAATTATTATTATTTAAATAGAAATGTTAATATAGTAATCTATATATTGTATATATATATGTATAAATTGACACAAATTATTTAATTATATATGTATTTTTGAATGTATTGATAATATTATATATGAAATATACTGTATATATATCTTATAAACTGTTTTTATATATTTATTCCTATAATGATAGCAAACAATCGATTTGTTTTGAATATCTTATATATAAATACAGTATATTATAGACTATTGTATTATTCATAACAAACTCTACAAACACTATACAGTATTTGTATAATTACAATGTTTTAGATAATATATAATAATAATAGTCAATATATAAATAATTAATTAGATGAATGTATTTTTACTCATTAATTTAGTTGTCTAACTCTCTCTCTCTCTCTCTCTCTCTCTCTCTCTCTCTCTCTCTTAGTTAAACATATATATATAAAATAACATAAATAAATTATTTAGTTCCCAATTATTAACGCACACTAAATGATTGATTGATTGATTAATGATAAACCATGTACAGTATTTAGTTTGCCTGGAATATTATCATATATATATATATATATATATTTACATTGTACAATTAAGTTTTATATCACTAATTAATCAAATTATCAATAATTAATTTTTATTACATTTTATGTACTAGATACTACTAGTAATGTTTAACAAATATTATTTATATATATATATATATATATATATATATATTGTTTCATTTTAATAAATATAATTACATTAAAAAAAATAAATAATATGATAATTGACTATTTGAATTTTTTGTTTATTTATTTATAATATTATTGCAACTATCAGAAAAAAATTAAAGAAAAACTTAACTATAGATTTACTTTTATAATTTAAACATTTTTATATAATAAATAATATAATGCTTTAAATATAAGATTTTATTTAACATTTATTTATAACATAACCTAACAAAACAACAAAAATTAAAATACAAAACATGTCTTCAATAATTAATAATAATAATAAAAACAATTTAAAGACTAATAAATAAATTAATCACTCACTCACTCACTCACTCACTCACTCACTCACTCACTCACTCACTCACTCACTCACTCACTCACTCACTCACTCACTCACTCACTCACTCACTCACTCACTCACTCACTCACTCACTCACTCACTCACTCACTCACTCACTCACTCACTCACTCACTCACTCACTTTGACTTTAATCAAAGCTTATATACTTTTTTATACCAAATATTTTTCACTTTTTTTTTGTTTTATTGTCAAACTTTCACTAATGTTTCCGAACAACGGAACTCATAATTTTTTTTTATAGGAAAGTGCTGAACATTATTGTTAGTGTGCCCTTAATATATATATATATAAAAGTAGTCTAACCTTTCAACTAATTTAGTTTAACAACAAAATAGTCTACAATCGACACATTGAGAGTTAAATACTTTGATTTGATTTAATGTTATGATGACTAAACACATACTGATAGTAATGAATGATAAATATTGAGAATAATAATAATAATAAATATATTATAAATATATGTATTTAAAACAAGAATAATAGAAAATATTTTTTTAAATCTAAAATCTAAAAAAATTATAATATAGAGTCTATTTATAATTGAAAATGGTAGTTTTTTAATTAAATATATATATATATATATATATATCAATAGTCCAGGATAAACATGATTGAAAAGTGATTTTTTTGAAACTCTATCTCTACTATTGTATAGTAATTTGTTTCAACAAATAAAATAAATTAGTGTCAATAGAAAGTGTGTAGGGGTTGTAGGGGTCAGACATGTACAGACAAATCCCCTCAACAACAACAACAACAAAAAAGCAATAAGTTTTAATCAAATTGCTATTACAATCAAATTTGTGAAACTATAGGAGATTTTTAATATACTCTGAGTGTATATATATATTGACTATTTTTGTTGGTCTATATATATATTACTATAGTATTGATACTATGAGTAGATTTTTATTTTGTTAAAAAAATGTTTTGTTTATAATAAGAATATTATTTTATATATTTATTCTAAATTTTAAGCAAGTTTTAGATTTTAATGTTTTATATTACTATTATATTAATTAAAATCATATTAAATTATCAGATTTTTTTTATTAACATTATTTTTACTTTTTAAAACATTAATAATAAATTAAAAGTGGTCTTTAATAATAATAATAATTATTATTATTATTATTAATTAGTAGTAGTAGTAGTAGTAGTAGTAGTAGTAGTAGTAGTAGTAGTAGTAGTAGTAGTAGTACTAAAACTCATTTATCTATTGATATTTAATTATTAATTATAAAAAATAGTAATATAATTTATATCAATGTTATTATTGAATTGTATACTTTATATATAAATATATTTTATAAATAAATATTTTTGTACTTACTAGTATATTTAAAAAAAACATTTATCTAACAAATGTAAACTAGAAATGTTAATTAAACTATCAAATTAAATTGATTTTAAGCGATACTATATTTAAATAAAATAAAAATGAAAAAATATTTAACAATATCTTATAAAAAAATATTATTTTAATATTTTATGTGTCCTTCAATAATAACTGTTAGATAAGTACAGTTAGTGTGTGTGTGTGTGTGTGTTAATTGAAGCGCAAATGTCTAACACACCCATAATTTAATTTAATTATTAACAAATAATAAGTAAAAAAAACTAATTTGTTTTTTATTGTTTTGTTTTATAAATAATTTCTAAACTGAAAAGTGCTCTAATTTTTTTTAGTTATCTGTTTAAAAAAATATATATTTACATATAAATTATAGGATTTACACTAATGTTAATATTATAATAAATTAATAAATACTTAAATAATAATTTCTATAATAAATATATACCAAGTATTGAAAATTGTATTAAATATATTTTTTTTTACTAATAATCTAATGTTAATCTAGAATATAATAAATATTTTACTGATAATTGTTTACTATAAGTATTTTTTATAAATAAAATATAATTTTATCATTATTATAATTAAATAATAATTTTTATTATTATTTAATATAATTAATAATATATTAAACATTAAAAATAATAATTAAAAAATATAATTTTTATGCATTTTAAAAATCTTGATTTTTATTTATTTCAAAAATCATTAATTTAGTAACAAAATTAAAATTGCAATTCAAATATCATAAATATTTACACACAAAAAAAATATTAATAAAATAATAATTAGATATACAATAATAAAAATATATATAATATAATATAATGTTTGTTTTAAATATACAATAAATTAACAAATAATTTTTAAATATTAGATTAAATACAACAAAATAAAATAAATTTACAACAAAAACAAACTAAATGAGCATTTTTTTCTTCATATGGTATAATAATATCTTTGAAATAGTTTATTATATCATTAAAATCAAAACATGAGATACCGTTTTACCTAAATAATCAATAGTCCCCTAAACTTGATTTTTATTAGCATTTTTTTAGGACGAGTAGCCACTGTTAGTGTGTTTCAAGTTTTGACTGATATCGTCGATAATACCGTCGACATCGACATTAACGTCTCCCAGACCACCGCCCAGACCACCGCCCAGACCACTGCCCAGACCACTGCCCAGACCACCGTCCAGAAAACCGTCCTTCTTGTGAATGGGTGCCGACTCGTAGTGTTTAACTGGTGGTGCGTAATGGGCTACCGGTTCCTTGTGATAGATTTGGTGCTCGTATTTGGGTAATTCAAATTTAGGTGTATGATGATAAACCTGGGGCTTATGATAGTCATCGATTACCGGATAGTGTCCGTGATGTTGGTCACCGGTATCCGACGTATGGGTCCATCCCTTTCCTTTGCCGTGATGGTGGGCCGGGTGCTCGATCTTTGACCCGTATTCCCATTTACGGCCTAATTATTAATTGTTATTAGACAACAAAAAATATTTTTTAAATATTTATTTCTATATAAAAAAAAAGTTATATAATATCTAATACATAGCATATCTCTATCACAGCACAGGGATATCAATATTTTCCAAAATAGACTCACTTACTCACTCACTCACTCACTCACAAGTCAGACACAAAAAAACTAACTAACCTTTTGGTGATGACATAACTGTCATAATGTTGACAAACATACACACAAATAATATAATATATGAATTCATAGTTAGATTTTATTTAAATAACTTTTAATACAATTTATATAACTTTTTTTAGTTTAGTTTAGTTATATATTTATAACAGTATTTTTCACTTTTCTACTATTTTTTTTAGTTATTGAAACTATAAAACTTTTAAACTATGATTGACTAAACAAATAAAAAATACATTACTTTATATATACTTTTATTTTCTCTGGTATTGAACCAAAATTATTGTCACTTAAATATTTCTCAACCCATTAACGAAAAAAATTTTTTGTCGCCTGAAATATACCAGTAATTAGTAGTTAGTTATGCAACAAAATACTAAAATAATTGTATCCTAAAAATATAAGGCAACCTTCAAATTAATTTTTTTAAATGTATTGTTATATAATATCTATTATATGTCTCATTGATTTTTCTGTAAATCCTGTATGTCGATAATTATTTGAAAATAATATAAAAATTATATTAATATATAAAAATTGTAGACATTTTTTATCAGATTATATTTACAATTTTTTTTTAAAAAATACTAATTATTATATAATGCAATTTAACGGTTAATTGAATTAAATTTGATTTTTTTTGTTTGTTTGCAATTATGTTGTATTGACTGATAATTACATAAAAATGTATTTTTTGTTGTTTTAGATATAAAATATATTTATAATACAATACTGTTATATAACATTAAATTATGAATATTTTTTTCTTAAACATTTTTTATAGATTATTGAAATATTTATATTTATTTAAATAATTAATAATTATTTCCCAATAAAAATGTCATTGTCATAGGCCTGGGGCCTATAAATAAAACATTATTTAATAGGTTATAAATTTTTTTTTAAATAGTGATTAATATAACATAATATGTAATTAAAGAGTGATTTTTGTTTTATTATGTGTTATATAAATAAAAATTATTTCAAAATTTTTATTATTGTTATTATTAATGTGTGGGTGTAGTCTTTAAAAATATACTATAAAAAATAATAGTAATAATCTATTATTTTATTATTAATGTAATTAAATTTGTTTCCTAATATATCCTGTGTTAACAAAATAATAGATTTTTAATAATTATTAATGTATAAATAAATTCAATTTAAATGAGAAAATTATTAATATATATTTTTTAAATATTTCTGTAATTAATATTAAATAGTATTTATTTTAAAAATAGTTTGTATAATAAATTATTTTGTATTATTGACAAAAAGTTATAGTTAATAATTAAAATTATATTTTATTTATAAGTTTTTTTATTAAACTTTTTTAATGTTTATAATTATTAAGTTTTTTTGTATAATTTTTATGTTTTTTTCTAGATTGTAAATAAATAATTAAATGTTATTTCTATATATATAAATTTTAGATATAAATTAATTTGACTATTTGACAGTGATAATATATTATAATAAATTTATTTACTCATAAATTTTTATTATTTTATATCTATATATATATATAATACTTTATTATAACATTATAATCTATTATTACTTAATTATTATTAGACATAAGTGTCAAAGTCATCGGAAATTGTACGAAACAATGTCATAGAATAATACACATAGAAAAACATATTTTTTTAAATTTATAAATAAATATTGTATATAAAGTTTTATTTATTATTAATATTTAGGATTTATCATTGAAATCGCTGTCATTATTGGCATAATTATTATATACAATATATATGTTAAGCACACGAAATACTTGACTAAAAAATTTGAAAATAATATTTATATTTCGCAAAACTTATTGCAACAATAAAAAAACAATTGTTTTGATGGTTTGTTAAACACTATGTGTTTACGTGTTGTTGTTGTGGTTGAAAACAGTTGTATTTTATTGAGGACTGTCCGCTAATCCCAAGGATTAGTGCCGATAAACATACTTAACCTTCACTTTTGATTTAAATTTTTTCCTATTTATATATGAATTTTATTTTATTTTTTGCTTTTTTAAATAAACCTATGAATACATTAGTATAAATAATAATTATTATTAATTATAGTAAGTATATTGTTTGAAAAAATAATTACTAAAATAATTAGTATTAATTAGTATACATTAATGTGTGGTATAATTTTTTTTCTTAAAAAATTAATTCAATAATAAATATGTTTTAAAAAGTGAATTAATAATTATATTTATTTATTTTCAAACCTGTTAACTAAAAATAAAAACAAATAATTTGCTTTAATTAAATTATATATATATATATTAATAAAAATTTTATATTATTTTATTTTTAATTATCTTAATTTATTTAATAATCATTTATAAGTAATTTTACAGTAAATATATTTTTTAATTTAAAAAAAACAATTATTATAAATATTTTCTTATGACTTTGAAATTTGTTGTTTTTTCTCTTTTACTTTTAGTTAATAAAAAAATAATAATAAATATTTTTTTTAAAAAAAAACTTTAATCAATAATTTTTTAAGAAAGCACTGGTATTACTGGTTAGTATAGTTATAGTCAATGTGTGTGTGTGTGAGTGCAGTCAACCATTGAAACTGGTGGTCCAGGGAATAGGACTTTAAAAATAAAATAAAATAATGTTAACTATAATAATACAGTAATACTATTAGTGAAAGTGTTATATAATATATATACTGTATATAAACTTTTTTTTTATTGTTGAATAAATTACATTTTTATTTTTTAAAAAATCTTATCTATTTAATATAATTAATTTTAATGTGATTTAATTAACTATATTTTTAAGTCATTTAACTAAAATTGTAAAAAGTTATTCAATAATATCATACTAATAATAATAATAATAATAAATTTTTAAGTAATTAAAAAATGTCATTAAACTCAAAATATCATTACTTTAATAATTATAATCAACCACTACTGATACTACTACCAGTGCTACTACTACTACTACTGGCGCTGACCATTGACCAGTCCCAGCAATATTGTGCAAAGTTTGGCCGACATCTACTTCAGCACCAGTGTGTACTGACACCGGAATCATCGGAAGGACCATTTTATCTGCCCTATCATCTGACCCGTCGGGATGTACGCGAAGATCGTGAAGGATTGCCGTTTGTCCTGAAGCTGACCGTTACGGATGTGAATACATGCGAACCGTTAAACAATGTGACAGTAGATATATGGCAGGCGGACGCCAGTGGCGAATACTCGGGCTATGTTAGGGCCAGCCCTAGTGGCGGCGGTCATTCACCGCCCAGCGATAATGCAACCTTCCTACGGGGCATACAGATGACCGATCAGAATGGCCAGGCTGAATTTATGACCATATTTCCAGGTGCCCCTGATTAAATAAATAATTAAATTTATCATATATATAATTGTTTTTGTTGTTGATGATGTGTGTGTGTGTGGATGGGTGGGTGCGCACACCTGTAGGTTGGTATGACCCGCGTACTACACACATACACTTGCAGACACATCTAGCCGGGCGTACTCTACACACCGGTCAACTGTATTTTCCCGACAAAATGGTTGCCCGTATTGGCCGCTATTATCCGTATAATAATACCAAATATGTTCGCATGAATAATGCCGAGGACTGGCTGTTCAAGCGGTTCAACGGCCAGGACTCGATGATACAGCGATTCAAACCGTTAAGAGGTAGACGACTGGCCAACGGACTGGTCGGTGAAATTATTGTCGGTTTGGATCCTAATATGGACTCCAAAGAGGCCCTTCACGGTCGTGGATAAGACGGTCATAAAAATCTCGCAACTATTTTGTTGTTGTTTTTTTGGATTTAATTTAATTATATTTGTATTTTCCAATAAAATAAATTAATGTTTAATATAAACTTATTTTATCAAAAAAATACACATTTAGATTGAGATTATATACTATATTTTTGTTGCTAAAAGTAAGAAAAAATTATTTGTATATATTTGTTTGACTGTGTTTTTATGACATTTTAAATGATAATATGTAAATGAAATTAAAATTATTAATACTATATCTAGTAATTATAGTTAAAAATATTTTCCGATAATATTTTTTATTTAGTACTTTAGTAATAATAATAATAATAATAAAAGCAATTAATTATTATTTATTTTCTATTTAATTGAATTAATTAATATTTATTGCACTGGTTTTTGGATAAAACATGAAATATTCATTGTTTTTATTTTTATTTTTAGTTAAGCTTTTTAAATAATAATAATAATAATAATAATAATAATAATAATAATAATAATAATAATAATAATAATAATAATAATAATAATAATTGCTTTTAGCAATGACACTGAAAATTTTAATAAATTAATAGTTTATATTAATAAATCTTTCTACTGTTAAGCTAACAGTCCCCTCACACACACACAGCCCTCACAGTTTTTGGCACTGGTATCTCATATTTTTTAGCACCCAGTATATTGTCGAAACAGTTGTTATATTATTATTAATATATAATAATTATAATATAAAAATAATTAACTAATTAAAAAAAATGAAAATAACTAAACAAAAACAGGTAACTAATAATTATTTTCAACTACTTGTGCTGACCCTCAACACTGTGTTGTTGGTGTTGTTGTTTGTCAGTCCATCCCAACAATACTGTTCAAAGTTTGGCCGACATCTACTACAACATCAGTGTGTACTCACACCGGAAGGTACTGAAGGACCGTATTATTTGCCCAGAAATTTGATCCGTCGGGACATACGTGAGGACAGACAGGGACTACCGTTTCGTCTGAAGCTAACCATTACTGATGTTAATTCATGCGAACCGTTGCGCAACGTTTCGGTAGATATTTGGCAGTGCGATGCTAGTGGCAAATACTCCGGCTATATCGGGCACCGGCCTACCAGTGTCCAGCACGCACAGCCTACCGATAATACAACATTTTTAAGGGGTGTCCAAATTACCGACGATAATGGACGGGCAGAGTTTAATACAATATTTCCAGGTTTTTATGTTAATTATATAATTTTATAATTAATATTATTATTATAAGTAAAATACAGTACTATATATATGATATTTTAACTTTAAAAAATATAATTATATAAATACTAAATATTAGTTATGTTTATTATTATTATAGTATAGTAGATCTACTGTTATAAATTTATATAATATTAATAGTAAATTAATATTTTTTTTGTAATTTTCAGTATTATATAAATATAGTATTAGTGAATATAATTATAATTTAATGATTTTATAAATTTATTTATTTATTAACAAATTATTATTATTATTTTGTAATTTTGATTAACATGAATACAATTTTATTTAATATATATTATATATATTATCTATAATTATTTTTTTAAATTTTAATAATAATTTTTGAAATAGGTTGGTACGGTGGCCGGACAACTCACATACATATACAGACACATATGGGCGGCAAAACTGTCTATACGGGACAGTTATATTTTACTGACAAACTGGTCAATCGTATAGCACGTATGCAACCGTATAATATGACAACTGGCCATCGAAATACCAATGAAGGAGATTATATATTTCGTAGGGACAGCGGTAACGATACTATTATTAAACGTATAAAAATGATTAAACAAACTAATCGTTTGCTGGCCAGTGGACTGGTAGGCGAAATGATTATCGGTTTGAACCCAAACACAGAATCTCCATACGCTTTGTATGGTAAAGGCAAACGATAATTAAGTTAAATAATACAATGGTTTCAATGTTTTGTTTTTTTTGATTAAAAATAATAATAAATAAAATAATTATCTAATTATTAGATTCTAATATATTGTATTAGTATATATTTTGTGTGCAAACTTATTGTATAATTATAATTGATTTTTTTTAATATAACAAATATTAATATATTCAATGAATTTAATTTTTTTAAATTATCAGATAATGAATGATAATTTATAATTTATATAATTACTTAATATACTGTATTTAGACTAACATTAAGTTATTAATGATCTATATATGTCAATTAATTTTTGTTAAGTTTTATTTATTATTTTTTAGCATTATTTTTTAGGCGCACCAATACATTATTAATTTTTTAAACTAATTGTATTTTATCATCTAATTTAAATCAATTAATTTGTATACAGTATGTAATAATGTATTACATAATTGTTAGTTTGTATAAATTAAAATTAAAGTTAAAAAAATACAGTATAATTTATTGCAGTTATAAATAAATAGTATCCAGGTCAAGTGCTGTCATCTACTAGTGCTGGTATAGTATATACTGTATATATGTATAGGGAGTTAGGAAGCAAAGGGTTGACACCAATAAATAGTTATTTGAATTGTAATAAATTCAATAAAAATATTTGTTATTATTATCAAAATTGATTAGTAACTTAAAAAAATTATAAAAATTATATTCAAGTTTTTTTTCTATTATTGCTATTTTAATATATTATTTATCATATATCCCTTTCATATGTTTTTATATTAGAAAATATAAATAGTTTAACTTAACTCATTAGAAATTTTTTAGATAATTTTTTTTTGTTTGTATTAATTAATAAATTTTATTAATGATTTCTAAAAAATGACTCATATTTCTAGTAAATAATTTTTTTTATATAAAACTACTGATAGTTTTATTTCCCACATTTTATCAACGAATAAATATTATATTAAATATACTGTAATTAAATTGTTATAAATTCAAAAAAAAATTAAAACATTAATTTATCTGTAAAAACATTTGTAATTATTATTATTTTTTATTTTTTTGTTATACGATATCATATCATAGTTGTATATAATTTAAAACTGATATTAAATTTATATCTTTTTTACAATATTAACCTTAAACTTATCTGTTAATATATATATATATATATATAGTATATTTGATATCATATTATTATTAAAATGTATATATTTTTTAAAAAATGTTTAATGTTTTTTAATAGATTATATTTGATTGAATTTGTCACAAATTTTTATACTGTATATATATATTTTAATATACTGTATATATATATTTTAATATACTTTAATAATAATAATACTAATATACAGTAATCTAATAAAAAGTTAATAAAATGATTTATAAATTGTTATCAATTAACCGATTGGCTATTAAATGGCGTCTAAATAATGGCCTCAAAAACTTGTCAATTATCGGTAATATTGGTGGTGGCCATCGATTTTTGGCCAATGTTGGCGCTAATAATAATTATAAGGTATTAAATATTTTTTTTTAAAAAATTAACTAAAGTATATATAAATACACAAAAAACATATGTTTTAAATATATTAATAAAAATAGTATATAATTAATTAAATAACACTTTATTTACTTTAATTAAAATAATTAATGTAATTAAAAATTAAAAAAAATTTTAGACAAAATTAGTGACCAAAATAATGAGAAAAAATAAGTTAAATCTACCGAAAAATATGAGTCTCGATTATTGTTGTTCAAGTGTCGCACCCGAGACTATGCCAATGATTGACGGCCAACAACACCAACAATCGATGGCCATTACGGAAACCCGCAGACCGTTGACACTGTTATGTGTGTGGATGTTAGCCAAAGACAAACACATTGAAAAGTATCGGCAAATGTGGTTCAAACGTGGTTTCGATGTCCTAACCGTTCGGACATCGCCGCTGGATCTACTGATGCCACCGATTGGCGGAATGACAGTGGCCAGAAATGTGGTCAACAGTTTGCACGAACTTAGCGGCCATTACAACGAGATAGTGGTTCATATATTTTCTGTTGGCGGCTATCAGTTTGGTCTAACCCTACAACAGTTGACTAGTAGTCCAGTAAACAGTTATCTCGTGGACTTAATTAAAGGTATAGTCATCGACTCGTTTGTCTATCCCGATGACTGTGCACCCGGTCTATCGCGTGCCATAACTAAGCACCCGTTAGTACAGCCGATGATCGAACAGTCCATATATGTCTTTCTCTGGCTATTCAAGAATATATGTGTCAAATACTATGATATGGCTGTCGATGCGTTTGCCAATCCTAGAGCTAAATATTCCGGTATTCTCTCTACCCCTCTATTCTGGACATACCTGTCCTCAACTTATTGTATTTAAACTAATTTATTATTTTGTTTGTTTGTTTGTTAGGACTTTTCTTGTACTCGAAAGACGATTTGGTCAGTAATGTTGCGACCAATGATTATCTGGTGGACATATGGCGTCGGGCCGGCCATAACGTCAGGTCCAAGTGCTGGGATCGGTCAACACATGTACTACACTATAGAGACCATCAACAGGAATACGAGGACGAGTTGGACGCCTTCATCAAGAGTTTGAATTTGAAAAAATAATAATTAATTTTCTTTTATATATTTTAAAAATAAATAAATTACAATATTTATTATATATTTATATTTTTAATTTACTGTATAATATAATATTTAATTCAAATTTACATTTTTGTTTTTGATTTTATAAAATTAAATATTTCTTAATATTGTATATGTTTTTTATTTAAATGTATGTATAAATATTTATTTTATTTTTAAATAAAAATAATTATTAGTATTATTAGTTAATTAATAATTTTTTAAACGCTTGACGAAATTCCCGATTAAATATCGTATAGATTAATGGATTAACAAACGAGTTAATCAATTGTAAATTCAATAGTAAATAAAATAATTGATAATGGTCAACTATGTATTGATAATCGGTAAACAATAAAAATAGACTCAACGGTATAATAAATAGACAGTAGAGTACGGTAATGATGGCCAATGTTTTGGTTACACGAAATTCCCGACGCAATACCCGTTTGCTAGTTTGATGATTATTATTGTCCGGTAAGTTATCTGGTTTTTGTTGATTACCCGAATTACCCGAATATTTGTTGTGGAATTCAATTGATTTCTGATTATAAATTATAAATAAAATAAATTAAACATTAAATAAATATTTATAATATTTATATCTATATATACTTATATACTATGCTATACTGTACTACAGGTTATATACAGTATATGCTTTGAATAATTTTATTCATACATATAATTATAGTTTATTGAAAAATAACTATTAATTTAAATCACCATCATCATCATACATACCTTATAGATCATATAATAAGCCCAGGTCATAATTGTAAACGGTATGATAACCTCTATGGATGTCAATATTTTATAGTGTAGTTCCTCACTGAATGGCAAACATAACTGTTTGGCCATCAATTCCTCTTGCATACGGCTATCATGAAATCCAATGGTCGGATATATGTTGGCTACCAATGGCCACGACCACGAAAACACTATCATACCTACTATTGGCCACTTGTTTGCCGACTTTGAATAGTTCAATCGGCTAACCGATAGATATCTATCAATCGAAATAAATACCAAATGATTGACCGATGCACTGCCGCAGACCAGTACTACCGAACTAATAAAATAACACATAAAACTACCGGTTGTCCAATGCATCAGATCTATGATAACAAAATACGAGCTAAACGGTAGTGCCGTAAAACCGATAATCAAATCGGTTATACTAAGCGATAGTATTAGATAATTGGATTTTAAACGTCTAAGTTTAGGTGTCCTCACAATTGCTATAATAACCAATAGATTGCCAAATATAGTCATATATATCACTATAAATGAAACGATTGACGATAATAGTTGAAGAAATAATAATTGTTTTTCATAAACATGTGTAGAGTTATACATAATTTATTTATTTATTTTTAAATAATGATAATTTTTACTATTGTATTTAAATATTAATGATAATAATAATAATAATAATAAATATCTATTTAAATAAAAATTTCTCAAAAAAAATATTTAAATTCAATATATTTTTCAACAATTTGCTGTTAAATTTTTGTTGTTATGTAATACAAAAAAAAATTAAGTTTATATCCTTTATTCATAATTTATACAATTATTATAAATTACTATTTGTTTTTATTTGTATGCATTTATTTATATTACATTTTATCTATAAAAAAAAACAGGATATTGTAATATAAATTGTTTCTCAATAATGTACAATATTTATTATTATTATTATTTATTATTATTAAATAATATAAAATATTATCTAATAATCTAAATACTATAAGTGAATAGTACTAAATATATTTATATACAATATTTTTTATTATTTTTTTAGATTTTATAATTAATGTTTTTAATTAAATTATATTTTTTTTAAATATATTTATTTAATTAGATTTTTTGTTTCTTCAAAAAATAATATACTTTTAAATGCTTGACGAAACTCCCGATTAAATAGTGTATAGATTATTGGATTAATTGCTGAATTAGTTAAAAATAGATAAAGTACCATGTAGAATAAATGATTATGGTCAATTATCCATTGATAATCGGTAGCCAACATTAGTATACTGAATGGCATCGTAAATAGACAGTAGACTACGGTAATAATGGCCACTGTTTTGGCCACACGAAACTCCCGGCGCATAATGAGCTGGTGTTTGTGCGGATGATTAGTGTCCGGCAAATTGTCGGCCACTACTACTATTGGCCGATGTTTTTCATCATATTTTTTACGATATTCGTGTGATTTCTATTAGTTTTTTTTGAATACAATATGTTTTTTGAATAAATTGTAAATATATATATATATATATATATATAACTAAAAAAACGTCAATATATAAATTTAAAAAATATGATAAAAAATAATATTTTAATAATAAATTTTCATAAACACTTAATTGTGACATATATTGTACATTAGTTTAGAGATTAGAGTAATTATTTTTAAATAAATGTAGTTTTATATTATTTAATTTTAATTTAATTTATTTTTAATATATATTTTTCAAATTTTTATACCGTTTTACCTGAAAAATCCTATAATAAGCCCACGAAATGATAGCAAACGGTACAATATTTTCAATTAATGTCATTAACTTATAGTGTAGTTCACCACTGAATGCCAAACATAATTGATTGGCTATTTGTTTGGCAAACATTTTGTTATCGTTGATACCGATTGTCAGATAAATATTGATAATCAGTGGCAAAATCCACGATACGGCAATCATGCCGACAATTGGCCACTTGTTGGCCGATCGGGAATACTCTAGTCGATGTACCGATAGATACCGATCGATGGCTATGAACAGTAGATGATTGGACGAAGCCGTAGCACAAACCGATATGACTGCTGTAACAAATTGACACATAAACGCACCGGTAGTCCAATCCATGAGATCATGGATATAGACATAGGAAACAAAAGGCAATATTATTGAACCGCATATCAGATCGGTTACACTCATCGATAGTATCAGATAATTGGATTTTAGCCGAAGTTTAGGTGTCCTCCAAATAGCTATAATAACCAATAGATTGCCAAATATTGTCATATATATCACTATGAATGCGATGATTGACGACAATAGCTGTAAAAATATTAATTGATTTGTCTGTATATGTGTTGAGTTATACGCCATACTTACCTATGATATTACCGATACTATAATTAATATATAAATTATGACAAAAAAATATTTTTATAATTTGTTTCAATTAATTATTATATCAAGTCATAGAAAAAACTAAGTATATATATAACTATTATTTTTATATTTATAAAAATATTTATTTAAGTTTTCTATTAACTTATTTAAAAAAGGAAATTAAATTTTATTAATAGCAAAAACATAAACACAATTTTATAATAGTTTTTACCGGTTAAACAAAAAAATTATTTATTTATCAATAATATACAGTATAACAGTATAATTAATATTAATAAAAATAAAAATGTTGACTAAAAAATAAATATTTGTTGTAAATATAATATTTGTAAATAATTGTATCATTAATTGTATTATTTTTTTTATATTAACATATACTTTAATTTTTTTCGACAATTTTCTGCTACTCTTTGATAATGACATCAAATTTTTTTTGAATTAGATTTTATCGCTAATTAATTTTCCTAACAGTTATTATAATTATTATTAAAAATCAATTATCATCTAACAGGAGACCAGTTTTATCTATCAATTCAAACAATGCAATCATCAGATCCTAACTCTAACTGTTAATAATTGATAATTGTTTTGTTGGGCAACAAAATCAATGTTCAAAAAAATGTGTTTGAAATTCAAACTTTAAATCGTCTGTCTCTCTCAACAACAAAAAAATAAAATAAAAAATAAAAATCAGATTTAATTTAACAAAAATCATTTAAAAACTATTAAAAAAAACTAATATACAGTAATTTATATGTTTAACAGTTGAATATTATGATATTTAGCGAAATAATAAAAATATTTTGTAAAAATCAAATAATAGCTATTAAATGTTTGTTTTAAAATTAATTGTTAATTGGGTTTATTTTAATGGTTTACTACTACCCCACTCACTACCCCTAACCTAACCAATAAATCAAATAATATAAAAATTGCATACAGTTTTTGGTTAATTGTATAGACTCACCCATCCGTCCGCCATCTAACCACACCATATCTGTCCATTCATCCATCCATCCATCATAAAACCTGTTGCATCCATGGACAGGTGCGTACATATTGGACAGTTGGCCTCTCACCGGGCACTGTACTGGTCATCAACATCAATAGCTCGATCATTGGATGATTTTTCTCAAATTTTCCCGTAAATACTAGACTGTCGTCGATAAATGAATTGGGACTGACGTCACGCAACCAACCGGTAGTCGGGTAACAGTACTGATCGATTTCGTCGAAACCAATCAAACTGAGCGCCATTGTCATACCCAGCGAATAGATGTCCAGTTTTTCGGTATTAAACATCTGTATGGGACTGTTTGGCGGCAACTGTTTATAGGCAAACACTTCGGGCGCCAAATAACGAGCCGTACCTTTTTTGACTGACCTTTCCATCGAAGGTTCATCGGCATGGAAAACTTCGGCCAACCCGAAATCGGCCAACTTGTAGATATGAGGGGCACCGTGCGGTTGTTTAAGGAACAGTATATTATCCGGTTTGATGTCCAAATGGGCGACACGATTCTGATGCAAATAGCCTAGTCCTTCGATTACCTGTTTCAACCATCGATGAGCACCTATCTCATCGTATACCTGATCGGGCAGACTGTCCATTTCGTCCAACAAATCTCCGTCGCATAGTTCCATAAATATAAACGAATACAGAGACGGAAAACCGGTCCGATCGTCGCGCACGTGTAGTACAGTTTCTACGGACACCATATTCGGGTGTCTTAAGCCGCGTACCGACTCAACATCCCTGAGCATCATTCTCATTGCTTCCGTCAGCGAGCCATACAAATTGACAAACTGCCAGATTTGCAATATTTTCACAGCCATTGTGCCGTTGCCCGGACCCATATCCACACGCCATACCTCACCGAATGCACCCTCGAGTATCTTAGTCTCTATCTGTATGCCTAACTGTGCCAACAACGGCTTAGCCACTTGCCAACTGCCCGATAAATTCAACTCATTGGGTACGTTAGTCGGAAAGCATTGTTCGTACGGTAGCGGCCCGTAAATTGGTAGACCAGTCTGCGGATCGCGACCAAAAGCTGCGGGACCATCGGTTGCAAATTTTTCACGGATTTCGGTCGGAATGTCCATAACTCGACCTCTCTGATAGTATAGAGCGTATTGCGGATCTAATACGGGTCGCGGGTAATTGAGCGAACCGGGTAATAGACCTGGATCCCGACCGCCTATTTTGTCTCTAATCAAAGATAGCTTAGCCATAGCTAGTAGTAGTAGTAGTAGTTTGTAGTAGTTGTAGTAGTAGTGCTGGTGATACTGATATTTGTAGTGATATTTGTGGTAATTGTGTTATTGATTACGACAACAATAGAGAAATATTTTTAATTTTTTTTGTTAATTAAAAAAAATAATAATCAAATAAAAAATTTCTTAACAATAGATTTTCAAATTAAATAAAATACAATTAATTTAAAACTACTACCTCCTCTCCCTTCCTCATACTACATACTATTTTCTAACCCTCCTAACCCTCCTAACCCTCTCTCTCCCCCACTCAACCCAACCTAACCTAACATTTTTAGCTTACATATATAAAAACTAATTGTTTAAATGGTTTTTATAATAAAGTAATAATACCGGTATGTAGATTGCATTATAAAGTTTAGCCATAACTGCATATAAATTATAATACAGTATTTAATTTTTGACAGTATATGTATTGTAATGTAAATAACATATACAGTAGTATTTAAAATCTTTAAAAAAAAACTTCATATAAATTTTTTATAACTAATTTTTTTTTAATGGTTTACTTACCCCCTTCCCCCCCTTCCCTAAACAGACTACTTTCTAATAAATATTGATGACATATAAAATTGCATACCATGGTTTTCTTGTATAGACTTACCCATCTAACCACTACCTGTCCATCCATCCATCAATCATAAAACCTGTTGTAGCCATGGATTGTTGCGTAACTGTTGAATAGTTGGCCTCTGTCCGGGTACTGTATTGGTCATCGACATCAATAGGTCGATCATCGGATGATTTCTTAGATATTTATTAGTAAAAACAAGAAAGTCATCGATAAACGAATTGGGATCCAAGCCCTGTACCCAACCAGTCGTTGGGATACAGTATTGGTCGATACCGTTGAAGCCAATCAAACTGAGCGCCAGTGTCATACCCAGCGAATAGATGTCACATTTTTCCATATCAAACACCTGTACGGGACTGTTTGGCGGCAATAGTTTATAGACAAACACTTCGGGCGGCAAATATCTGGGCGTACCTTTTTTGATTGATCTTTCCATCGATGGTTCGTCGGCATGAAAAACTTCGGCCAACCCAAAATCGGCCAACTTGTAGACATTGGGTGCACGGCGTGGTTGTAGTTTGAATAGTATATTATCCGGTTTGATGTCCAAATGGGCGACACGATTCTGGTGCAAATAGTCCAGTCCTTCGATTATCTGTTTAAACCATCGATGAGCACCCACTTCATCGTACACATCGCCAGGCAGCTTATCCATCTCGTCCAACATATCTCCGTCGCATAGTTCCATAAATATAAACGAATAAACGGCCCGAAAACCGGTCCGATCGTCGCGCACGTGTAGGACATTCTCGACGGACACCATATTCGGATGTCTTAAGCCGCGTACCGATTCGACATCCCTGAGCATCATTCTCATTGCTTCCGTCAGCGACCCGTACTTACCGATAAACTGTTTGATTTGCAATATTTTCATAGCCATATAGTTATTGCCGGGACCCATACGTACGCGCCATACTTCGCCAAACGAACCGCCCATTATCTTTCTCTGTACCTGAATGCCTAACTGTGCCAACAATGGTCGAGCCGTTATCCAATTGCCAGACAAATCCAAGTCATGGGGTATATTAGTCAGAAAGCATTGTTCGTACGGTAGCGGCCCGTGAATTGGTAGACCAGTCGGCTGGTGGCGACCAAAGGCTGCGAAACCATGGGTGTCATATTTTGCCCGCTCTTCCTTCGCAATGTCCATAACTTGACCGCTCTGATAGTATTTAGCGTAATGCGGATCCAATACGGGTCGCGGGTAATTGATGGAACCGGGCAATAGACCTGGATCACGATCACCTATTTTGTCTCTAATCAATGATATCTGAGCCATGGCTGGTAGTAGTAGTAGAAATTTGTAGTAGTGCTGGTGATACTGATATTTGTAGTGATAATACTTTTGCGGTAATTATTGTATTTTTTTTTTTTTTTGATGACAACAATTAGATAAAATTATTACAATAGAAAAATTTTGAAAAATTTTTTTGTTGTAAATTTTTTTAAAAAAAATAATAATCAAATAAAAAATAGATTTTCAAATCAAATTGAAAATTGTTTTACTGTTGCAATCAAACTAACTGATCGACGAGTAAACTTCAAAAAAAAAACACACACACACTCTTAACCAACTGTCCCTACAATTACACTACTACTCTCTCTCCCATTACAATAACAACCAACCAAAAAACCTAACTGTCCTCTACAAACCAATCAACAACATGTCTTTCAAATCGCATCACTTTCACGAGGATGACCCGAATCGTACAGAATATCATGACTGGGAAATGGACAAAGACGGTGAGTACCTGAGACCCGAACTGGACGAACGATATTTCGACTATGTTTCGGGTCGTAGCCGATGGCCGAACCTGCCCTACTCGGAACATGCCAAAATGCAATACTACAATACACCGTACGCGCCGTACGGTAAGGCACCCACCGGTGAGCCGCTGTTCGGACCGTTGAACTTTCAGGATTTTTATCCGAAAAAGTGGCCAAATATCGACGCCAACCGCGACTGGGCCGATGCAGCGCCAATGCTTGACCAGTTATTTGACATAAAATTTATCTCTCAATTAGGCGAAGGAGGTTTCGGCGAAGTCTGGAAAATCAGACGCAATGAGCAAGAAATGGCCGTAAAAGTGGTCAAAATCCAGTCGTTTATGGGCTTTCCGACACTCAAACAGGGAATGGATTTTATGCTAAAAGAAGTGGAAATCATGCGCCGACTAAAACATCCGAATATCGTATCGATTGAATCGATTATTCATGTGAGAGATCCGGCTACCGATTTTCCGAATCTGTTTTCGTTCATATTTATGGAACTACTCGACGGTGATCTGTGGTCAGTAATCACTACCAATATGGACGGCCGTATGAACGAACAGCAGGCGCACGAATGGTTCAAACAGATTGCCGCCGCCATCAGGTATTTGCACGAAAACCAGATCTGTCACATGGATCTGAAGCCGGAGAACATACTGGTCGAACGTAGCGGCTATAGGCGTACATACAAACTGGCCGATTTCGGTATATCGCAAGTATTCCGGCCAGGCCAGCCAATGACCAGTACCCGAAAAGATGGTACATTCGAGTACAAGGCACCCGAAATACCGGCCCTCAAGAATATTGTCTGGTCGATGCTCGGCTATCCCGTTGCCAACGAACTGACCAAATGCGATGTCTATTCCCTAGGGATAACACTGGGCAAGTCGCTGATCGGCCGAATCGATTTGGTACCCAAATGGGTTAGTCTAATGAAGATCGAAGCCGAACAATGGATACTCGACTGTATGGTCAAATCAAGGCGTTACGATGCGGACTCAGCGGTAGTCCGGTTGCTGTTAGGTATGGTCAATCCGGATCCGAAAAAACGTTGGGGAATGGATCAGGTTATGAATTGCGAATGGCTGGGCGAGTATGGTAGTGAAGGTGGCGGCGGTAGTGGCAGCAGTACCAGCGAGTTTAGCGATCTGGACGACTAGTAGTCTAGTAGTTGTAGGCCATACCCAGTTTATTTTAAAGGCATACAATCTTTCAGATACAACCGATCCATAGATACCATCAACCAACCAACCAGTCAAATGGTATGTAAATTATTTAGTAGTCTATTTTTTTTGTAGTAAAAATAAATATTTATTTTTTCAACAACAAAAATAATGTAACATTAAATTTAGTTATATTTTAGTTTTTATTATTAAATTTAATTAATTAATACATTTTATTATATGACAAATTGTTTTTTTTGGTGTTAATGTTGTCGTTTAAAAAAAGAAAAAAACAAAACAAAAATAAGTTATTAACAAATTATTAACATTTTATTGTGTAAGTATGAGTGTGTGGGTGGGTGGGTGTAAGTTGGTGTGTGTGTGTGTGTGTGTGTGTTCATACAATTTATTTATAATACAATCTTAAAGTCTAATCATTTATCATACTATAAAAATAAAACAATTTTTAGTAATACATAGAATTATAGTAACAATAATAATAAATAAATTATAATTTAGTAAAAAAATTATTTTAGTAAAATTTTAATTAACAAATTGGACAATTTTTGTGCCTGCACATTTATCGATGATGCTGTCAATATTGTACACATAAAAAATATTAGACAAATACATAAACCGTAAATTATGGCCAATTTAAACATTATATTAAATTTCATAAATATATTTAGAAAAATCAAAAATATAATAATCGGTCCAAAATTAAGCCAAATATTTAGAAAATATTTAGACCAATAAGTACTGTTATATTCATTAATCAAATTAAACAAATCATTTATTGATTTAAATAATGTTAATATTTTATTTTGTTTTTTAGTTATAGTATTTAATTGATGTCCACTATTGATGACTACTAATAGTTTGTCAAACAATTCAGTGATACTTATTTTAATATAATAGCATAATAAATAAAAATAAAATAATTGCCAAAACATAACGGAAAACATTTGATAAACATAGATACCAAATAGTAGACTATTTAGAAAACATAAAATCAATGTAAATACAGTTATTTTATAATAGATTAGTATAATATAGGGATAATGTGATGCACAATACCAAACAATATAGGGTATAATATTAATATATTTATACATTAGTTTAGATATTTTCATTAATTTACAAATTGATTGCCAGTCAGTGAGACCAATACTACGGGGTGTACGCAAACCGGACATCATATCAAACAATGACATAAAAGTTGGTAAAATATGGTAAAAATAATTATAATAATAGATGAATAATGTGTTCAAACAAAATATTGTCATAAATATTATAATCAAATGATAGATAAAACCAAAGCCTAATGGATGAGCAAAATCGCCAAACAATATGACAATTGTTTCGTTTCGGCCATCATTTGCCAATAGTATTGTATAAACAATTAGATAGTAAACAAATATTGTCGACAATACTATGGGATTATTCATACGACGACGTCTAGTAATTGGGACAGTTGTGTCATTTGGTTGATGGTGTTGTTGGATAAGTAATCCAATCTTATATAACTGATGTGCGGCTAATGGCACCTGTAGTTGTAATGGTAAATACTTATTGATATTTAGCATATTATTTTTTTTTTAAAATACTAAAAAACTAAATAAAATATAATATATTTTTTATAATTATTTTGCCAGAAACTAACCAAATTATAAACGTATTCAATAACTAATAATTTTTATTAAATAAAATATAAAAACTAGTCCTTATATCGTAATACTAAATTTATTTCATAATAAGTAATAATGATAATTATGATGATAAATAGTATATATATATATATATATATATATATACCTGTATATATAGATAAGTAATTACTAAATAAAAATTAAGTATGTTTTTTATAAATTTTATTATAAAATAAATTTCAATATATTACCTCTATATAATTGATAATATTAAATGTTTATATTTTACTATTAATACTGGTATAAACTGGATTAATCAATAAACTTAATGATAATTTTTTTTTTTGGTTTTTCAATTGTAATGAATTTATATCTAATATATACATTATAATTATCAAATTGAAATAAATTTGATGTAATATTTTAATAATTAACAAACAACAAAATTTCAAATAAAACTAATACATGTAAATAAAAACATGTAATTATACTTAATTAGTTTTTTAATGTAAAAAACTATTATTATTATTCATATTATTTAATTATATTAGAAATATATTCAATTTTATAATAAATTTTATTGTAAACGCAATTAAAAAATTATAATAATAACTAATAAAATTACTAATTATTATTATTATTATTATTATTAGCAAATATATAATAAAATTTTTAATAGCTTAATAAATAAATATAATTTATAAAAGCATTTATAATTATATTTGTTTTTATCAAATTATTAGTAATAAATATTTAAATTAACCAAAAGTTACAATAAATATTATAAATAAATAAATAAAAATTAAGTTTATAAATATTAAATTTCATAATTTAAATTATCCATCACTAATTAATGACTTTATAAAATTATTATCACAATTAATTTTGTTTAAAATAAATTCAAAATCAGAAATTAAAAAAATAGTTTTAATAAGTTTAAGGATTTGTTATATCATTTTTTTAATTTTTTAAAAATATGCTAAATATTAACAAGTATTTACCATTACAACTACTGGTGCCATTAGCTGGACATCAGTTATATATAAGATTGGATTACTTATCCAACAACAACAACACCATCAATCAAATGACACAACTGTCCCAATTACTAGACGTCATCGTATGAATCATCCGATAGTATTGTCGACACTATTTGGTTACTATCTTATTGTTTAGACAATACTATTGGCAAATGATTGGCCGAAACGACACAATTGTCATATTGTTTGCCGATTGTTTCGGACATTTTCTAGGGTTTGGTTTTTTATTTATTATTTGTTTATCATATTTATAAAACAATTTTTTGTTTAAACACTTTATTCATCTATTATTATAATTATTTTTTACAATATTTTACCAACTTTTATGTCAACCTGTTTGATATGATGTCCGCTTTGTGTACACACCCAGTAGTATTGGTCTCACTGATGATTGTATCAATTAATCAGAAAATTACTGAAATTATCTAAACTAATGGTTTAAATACGTTATCTAATTGTTTGCTTATATTGTTTAGTTATCTAATGTTTGATTATCCCTATACAGTATAATACTCTACTATTACGATATAACTATATTAGACATTGATTGCATGTTTTCTAAATAGTCTAAATTATTTGCTGATATATTTTTGTCATATTATAGTTCAGTAATTGTTTGGCAATTATTTTATTTATTTTTTATCTAATAGTTATTATCTAAAAAAAATTATGTATCAAATCTCTGATTGATATTTTAGTGATAAAATACTTACCAATGATAGTGATGGACAGTGAAGTAATTAATAATCATTATAAAAAAATATTAACAATATTTAAATTAATAAATCGATCAATTTGATCGATGATTATAACAGTAGGTCTAAATATTTTCTAAATAATTATCTTAATATTGGATTAATTAGTATATATTTTTTTTTATTTTCATAATCCTATTCAACAAAATATTTCCATTGACTTATTCATACGGTTTATGTATTTGTCTAATAGTTTTTTTATGTATACAAATATTTCCGTCATCATCATCGATAAATGTTCAAGCACAAAAATTGTTTAAATTGTTAACTAAACTATATTAGTATCAAAAAAATTTTTTTAGATACTATTAATAATATCAACTATTAACTACTATTTTATATTTTTCAAAAAAAATATTAATTATATTAATTATGTATAGTTATTGTACTAGTAATTGGCAACTATTGATTTATTGATATTTTAAAAAAGTAAAATTAATAGTTCAATTAAAAATTATTATTTAATCAAAAAACATTTTACTATTACTACCAAAATTAATACTAATATATAAATATAAAAAACTAATTTAATTAATATAAATTTTATTTATTTATTTACATTTTTGCAATAAAGTTATACAAACAAACAAAAAAATTATAATCATAATATTGTATTTATATATTCACTTCCTCAAAAAAATATAATTAATTAATAAAAATTTTTCTACTAAATAAAAATATTTAATAAATAAATAAATTTAAAAACTAATATTTTTTTAAAAACACAACAATTTATCATCATATGTGACATTGACAGTGAAAAATGTTGTTATAATAATATTACATTTGTATGTATCCTTTTTCTGTAATAAAATTTGAAAAAATAAATTGCATTAAAAAGTTTTATTAATATTATTTTTATTATTAATTTCATAGTTAAAATGTCATAGATTATATACTACAATTATTATATCATACATTAATAGATTAAATATATAGTAAAACATTATTATATAATAAATTACTGTACGATAATACTAAACACTTGTTTTATCAAACTATATATTAAATATTATTTATTAAATTTTATGTAAATTTTTTTTTTGATAGATAAATAACATTTGTGTTAACTATTTTGTGTCAAATTTTTTTTTTAGTTGTAATACATTAATAACTTTATAATAATTATTTTTTCAATACAAAAAAAAATGTACATAAAAATCTACAAGTGCTTAGCAGCAGCAGCAGCAGTCATAACTATCGTACTGTCCATCAGCGCCGGTACTGTACAGTTGAGCGACAATCACCAATGCAATTGTCGCCGACAACTGGACAAACGGGCCAACAGATGTCTACTACAGCCAGAAGCTGTTGAGGGGCCGTACTATTTGAATCAACGATTGGTTAGGCGAGACATACGCGAGCGCCGGCCGGGCGTACCGTTTGAATTGAAACTCAAGCTGACCAATGTTCGTACGTGTAGACCGTTAGACAACGTACGGGTCGATGTTTGGCAGTGCGACGCTACCGGTAATTACTCCGGATATATCAGCTATAGAGGACCGACTGATGTTAGTCATGTTGAACCTGTCGATGACTATCGGTTTCTAAGGGGAAGTCAGTTTACCGATTCGGACGGTATGGTCCAGTTTGATACCATATTTCCCGGTTTGTATTTTTCAATCCAAATATTTTTATTTATTATAGATTTAACTCATATTTATTTTATCGAAAAACATTGACAACTTATTTTATTTTAATTTTATAACATTTAGTTAATTAATTAATATTATTAGAAAATTATTGATTACTGTATTACTAATTACTATTATTTCTTAATTAATAATTTATTAATTGCTTAATTATCCAAAAAAAAATTTTTTTATCAAGGTTGGTATCCAGGTAGGACTGTACACATACATTTGATGGCCTATTCGGGTCCCAATAGGATACATACGGGACAGTTGTATTTTAGTGAACAACTGACCCGCAATATGGCCCGACTGGAGCCGTACAGACAGTCCAAAGTCGAGCGTATGATCAATGAAGAGGATCTAGGATTTACCGAAGATAACGGCGCCCGATCTATGGTCAAACATGTCAAAGTTCATCGGTATAATCATACCTATCCTCTATTGACAGCAACAGTTATGGTTGGCCTAAATGTTTGACACAATTTTACATTAATTGTTAATACAATTTGTGTTATTATTATTTTTTCAATTTTATTTTTTTTAATAAAATTACTACTATTATGTTGTATTATAAACTAATTAATGCAAATTTATGAAATAATTAACTATTGTTGTTGCTGTTATTATTAATTTATATCATTAATTATATTATTTTACATTTTTAAAAAAACTTATTTTTTAAATTTTTAATATTATTAAAGTTAAAATAAACAGTAATGCTTATCTAACAAAAAAATATTAAATCATAAAAATTATTATAAAAATTAAGTTTTGCAATAGTATCTACGTAAATTTTTATTAGAAACTAAATAAATTACATTGTATTGCATGTTAATTGTATATCAATTATTGTATTAAACAGTTTATTTATTTATGCCATATTAAAACTATATTCAAAAAAAAACTTGAAAAGTTTTGTTTACTGAAATCTATAATGGCTTTTTGAGTCTGTCTGTGTGTGTGTGTGTCTGTAGAATTTTTTTTTGCGAATTTTGAAATTCTGACTTCAGATTTGGTTAGAGGACTATTAATAATGTATTGAAAGTTGCATTAAAATTTTGATATCTCTTCGGGAACATAGAGAAAATGGCGGCCAAAGTAAAAAAAATTAGGTGAAAATTTTAACGTTTAGAATTATATAGAGCATCAAAAATAATTTATAATAGATCAAAATTAATTTATTTTAAAAGTATCATTGTAGTTGTTTATTTTGTTATATAAATCATTTGATACCACACATGACTATAGTTAAGTTTATTTTGTCATACTAAGTCATTTGATTCCCAATATAACTATAGTGGAATTTATTTTGTTTTACCCAGTCATGTGAAAACCCTACATGACTAAAATTGACTAATGGTTTTCAATGATATTCAAGTTTTTTTTCTGAAAATGCTTTCTAGCATTCTTAACTGGTTTTTAATTTAATGTATAATTACTTTTAAAAAAAATATTGTTACCTTTTATTAAGTTATAAAATTTAGATATTTAATTGACGATTAAATTTTAATTTAGTTTTTTAGTAAAATTTGATAATAACTAATATGTTTATTATAAATCAACTAATTACTAGTAAATGTTTTTTTTTCAATAAAACTAATTTTTATGACAATATTTATAAAATTAAGTAATTTTTTTTTAATATAATTAATTTATAAAAATACTTTATTGTATAAAAATATATTTATATAACTATACAGCAAATACAAAAAACCCATTTATTTAATATTTATTAATTATTGTAATTAATACATAAATTATTATTTAACAATTAAATTTGGATTTTTAGCAATCACATTTTATACAGTAAAATATTTTTATGCATGCTAATGCATGCTTATTAAAACAATTTTTTTAAAAAATTGCTTTAATCATTTTTTACTTGATAAATCATAAAAATAATAAATATCTAATATTAGTTAACGTAATAATAATGATTTTTTACACTGTAATGCTATGCAACTAATAATTAATTGTATATAAAGTGATAAAAAAATATTGTCATTACTAGAAAACTTTACTTTTTTAAAAAAAACCTAATAATAATATATTAAATTTTTAGAGAGAGAGAAAAAAAAAATAAGAAACATGGGTCTAAAAAACTACCTGAGCCGCAGCAGCAGCGTTATGTTGGTGATCATCGGTGTAGCCGTCTGTATCGGTACCGTACATCCCAGCGACCACTGCGCCCGACTGGACAAACGAGCCAATCGATGTATACTACAGCCGGAAACCATTGAGGGTCCGTACTATTTGAATCAACGACTGGTCAGGCAAGACATACGCGAAAGTCAACCGGGCGTACCGTTCAGATTGCGCCTACAGTTCACCCATCCGGACACCTGTGCACCGTTAAAAAATATACGTGCCGATCTGTGGCAAGCTAACGCACTGGGCATGTATTCCGGCTATATTGGCTTTCACGGACCAGTAGACGCCAATGGACACGGACAGCCTATTGACAACTACCGATTTCTCAGGGGTACACAGTTTAGCGATGCCAATGGTTTTGTTGATTTTATCACCATATTTCCCGGTCAGTCAGTCAGTCTATCTAAATAATATGTATTGTTTTTTTTTTAAAAATACCAGTTATTATACTATACTAACTTATATCAATAGTAAATTTAGTTTTTGAACAATTTATGTTAATTATTGTTAAATAACTTTATAATTATAATTTAGTATTATTTTAATATATAATTTATATTCTGATATTAATATACAGTATTTGACTACTTAAGTATTATAATAACTATTATTAATATATCAATTTTTTCAATAGTAATCATTAGTAACTACATGTGTATAGATATGTATATACCTCTGTATAATTTATATAAATGTAAAAATTTATGTTGCATTGCATACCTGCCTCTCCATCCCCATACCCACCCCAACCTCCCTTATCCATATACACTGATAGGTTGGTACCCGGGTCGTACCGTACATATACACGTGATAGCCTACTCGGGACCCAATCGTATACATACGGGTCAAATCTATTTTACGGAAAATTTGACCCAATATATCGGCCAATTTAATCCCTATCGGCAATCCCGTACTCGCCGGGTGCGCAATGAAGAAGATCAGTACTTCACATCGGATAACGGTGCCCAGTCGACCATCTACAATGTCAATGTAGCTAATTATAATAGTACCTATCCACTATTGGAGGCTATAATGATTATTGGACTCAAACAGTAATCGTAATACTAATAAAAATTATTATTTATTATAATATATACCACTAATTAATATTTTTTATCAATTATAACAATAACAACAAAAACTTAATTTTATATTTATTTTTTTGTTTGTTTGTTTAATTAATAAAGTTTTTAAAAAAATATATATTTTACTAATTATTATTATTTTTTAACCGAAAATATATATATATAGAACTATATATTAATACAATATTTTTAATTTTATAATTAATATTACAAATAAATTAACTAAACAAAATCATTATTGATTTTTATTTTATTTTTTAAATAAATATTATCGGTAGATATAAATTTATATTATTATTTAGATAACAAAATTAATTAGTAAATGATTAATTACTGGTAAACTATAGATTATTATTAAAAAAAACTTCACATAACAATCATTATGTAATTATCAATCGGTTCAACTCATCCCTGAGCCTATCGAAAGCCTGTAGATAGCTCTGGGACTCTAATTTGTCCATAAAATAGCGCAACTTATTGCTATTGTTGCCGCCGCCAGACATAAAGCCCTCGATATCGTATAGACTATCATTCAATCGATGATCGGTTATCCTATTCTGCGGATAGTTATATGTCCTGATTTTGTCGCTACGGTCGGCCTGACCTACCTGTGCCCGCTTTGTACTGCGTTCATCCCGTCGACGTTTATCATATTCCATCTGATTTATGATAGCCCTGAGCTTACGTGCGGCAATCTCTTTGTTTTGTAGCTGCGATCGGGTTTCCTGACAAGTGGCCACAATACCTGTAGGCTTGTGTGTCACCCGAACACATGTGTGCGTACGGTTGACGTGTTGGCCGCCGGCGCCCGACGATGTTGTCATCTGATAGACCAGATCGTTGTCCTGAATGTCAACTACATTGTGTCGGACAGGTATGACGGCTACCGTTGTTGTCGATGTGTGCACCCGGTGTCGGTCGGTCTTCGGAAACTGTTTGTGAAGTGAGTGAGTGACCAGTGATTAGTGTTAATACAAATAGTGTCGTCTCTTTTTTTTAAAAACTATCGGTAAATATCTCTGAATAGCTTACTCTCTGAACCCGATGTACGCCCGCCTCGTGTCTCAGCAGCCGATAGCAACCGTTTCCCGCAATAATTAGCGACGAATGTCGCGAACCGCCATAATCGGTATCGCAATCGTTGTCCACTACCGAATACGTCCACTTCTGGTTATCGCACAGTCGACAGTAGACATCGAACAGTTCTTTCGTAAACAACATGGCCTCCTGTCCGCCGACGCCGGCATTTACATCCAGACAACATTCGGCAATCTGGTAATCGGTTGAGTCGGCTTGAATGGCTTCGGCGATAATCTGTTTCAAACATATAGTCAACCGGTCAATCAATTGGTGGCAATCGTCGGCAGCCAATTGGCGCAGTTCAGGGCTATCGTCGGTTGTCTCAATCAGCCGCAAGGCGTCCAACTCTTTTTCGGCCATCTCGTAGCTGACGAACAAATCAGGCGATAGTTTCAATTGATTTTCGGTAAAATATTGTTTGATTTTGGCCGACGATAATTGATGTCTAGTGCGCCGTTGCAATGGACGGCAGCCATATCGTAATAATGGCCACAATTTGCCGACAGTTTTGATGTTTGCGGCAAACATTTGAAACTAATTTTTTTTTGTAAACATTTATTAACTTATTTTGTAAACACTGTAAACAAAGTTGTTATGCTATGCGCTCTGTTATTACAAATAGTACCAAATATGCGAGCATAGTATGCATAATATTTTCGGGTCTATTTTATATATACAGTATATATATATATATACCGGTACATTATTAGTGCAGTATTATTGGCAGAAAATATAAATTTGATTTTTATACAGTATTAATTATTAATTATTATTTAAAAAATGTATATTTTTTTATTAAAAAATTAGTTAGTTTTAATTAATTAACTAATATTAGTTATTAAAAAAAATATTTTTAGTAATAAAATAGTTTATTTTACATTTATCTACAATATTTTTTTTCACACAATTAGTTATTATAATTTTAAAATTTAATAAAATAATTTATAATGTAATGTAATGTTTTTTTTAATTATTTTATAGTCACTATAATATAGTGCGATTAATAAAATAATTTTTTAAAGCTATCTCTTAATTTTACACTTAATTTTATTTATTTTAAATTAATATTTCTTATTTATTGATATTCAAGTTTAATACAATATATTTTTTGGGAAACTATTTTTAATTAATTTTATAATAATTGAACAATTTATATAATTGAACAAGAACAAAAATATTAAAAAAAGATCAAAAATATTTAAAAAAAAGATCAAAAATCTAATTATAAACAGATAATGTGTATATTTTATTAATTTATATCCATTTTGGTTTAAGTTAGATAAAAAATATAATAATTAAAAAATTTTATTACATTTTTTTTATTATGTAATACGTATACTGTGTAATTTAGTAATGAAAATAATTGTAGGTAATATTTTTTTTTAATATCTAATTTCTAGTGATTTATAATTTAACCCTGTTTCAATTTTTTGTCGTTGCCATAAATGATATAAAAAAATTATATCTGTATTAGAAATTAAAGTTTTTTTTGACAAATTTTTTTTAAGTATACTTAACATTTTCAATATTAGACCAGGTAATTTAAAAAAAATAGATAAAGTGTAACTAGTTTTTTAAAAAATAAAGATAAATTAAATTGATAACTTTTGCATAAATAATTAATTAAATAAAAAAAAGAGTATTAAACTTTCTATATATATATATATTAATTACAATAATCTATAGATATATACGTTACAAAAAAATAATGTTTTTTAAAAGAAATTTTTTATGACATCTTTTTGTTGCTATACTTTGAAAATAATTTTTTTTTAACTTTTATTTGATGACAATTTTGAAGGTCTTTAATAACGATATATAAAACAATTTTTTTGTTTGTTTGTTATATTAAACAAAATATTGTACAACAATCTCAATAACAATTAATTAATTTAATTAATTAACAAAAATAATTTATATGTATCCTTAAATTGTCATCAATTAAAACAAATAATTAATAAATTAAAAGTTTTATAATAATTATTTGAATTTGAATTATATCCAATATTCATTGAATAAAAAATATTCTGGATAATAAAAGTTTATAAAATTAATTAATTATTTTTAAAAATTTACTAAATTTTATCATTTAGTTTATTCAAACATATTAATAATTAAAAGTGATTAATATTTTATTTATTAATTTGAAATAAAATATTTAGCTTTTAACTAAAACAATGACAGATATATATATAATATAAAAATAATTAGTTTTTGAAAACAAAATGACATTTTTGTTATCTTTGATAAAAACTTATTTTTATGGGCAATAAATCATATTTTATTTTCAACGTATAATATTTAAGACATTTTTTCAATAAAATATAATTTAATTAATTTTTATATTTAAAAATAAAAATAATTTTTAAGAGCTTAATTAAAACAATTAAAGTTATATGTCATATAAATATAGTTTATTTTTGTTTGTTTTTTGTAAATTAAATGCAATAAAATTATAATTGTAATCATTAAATAAGCATTTTCAAATGCATACACGTAAATCAAAAATGGCAATATAATTAGCTATAATGTTCACACACACACACACAAATATTATTTTAAAAATTATAATCAAGGTGATTTATTTATTATGCAAAAATTTTTTCAGTAACTTTTGTGAAATATAAAACTTATAAATATTAAAATTTACGTTTTTTTTAAAAAATATGTATGTATTATTGAGAAATTTCGTTAATTAAAAATAATTAAAGTATTTATATATAAATTTTATGCATATGTGTGTATGTATGTGTGTATGTATGTGTGTATGTATGTGTGTATGTATGTGTGTATGTATGTGTGTATGTATGTGTGTATGTATGTGTGTATGTATGTGTGTATGTATGTGTGTATGTATGTGTGTATGTATGTGTGTATGTATGTGTGTATGTATGTGTGTATGTATGTGTGTATGTATGTGTGTACGTATGTGTTTATGTATGTATCTATTTGTGTGTGTGTTTATGTGGTTTATCTGATAAATTATGTAATATTTGATGATATACTGTACATAATATATATATATATATAACAAGGTCATTATGTACAAACATTATTTTTTGTGGAAATTAATTCAATGTTTAAAAATAACTATATCGGTGGGCATTAATTAATATGTAATTTTCGTAGATTAAAACAGATCAAAAAAAAAAACAAAATAAACAATTTTCAAACAAAAATAATTTTATAATTCATAGCTCACACACACACACACACACATAGAAAACAATTTTTTCTTTATATAAATTTCATAAATTTTTTGTTATTTTGTGAAACTTTTTAAAAAAAATTATTATTGAGGGAAGGGGGGTTACTTTGAATTACTTAAATATAACGACAATTATTATAGGGAACGGGTAGGGGAGAGAGAGTAAGATACATACCTCGCTTTTTTTTAAAAAAAATTGATAACAGGCCAATATCAAGGTCTATGGGTTTTCTAGATGTATATGTTGGGGGCACACAAACACACACAAACACACACACATACATAGACCCAAGGATGTGCCGAAAAATTTTTTTTAATTCCCAATCACTATATAAGTATGTGTCTTATGTCATCAGTTTTTCATTAATAAATATCAGTTTTTTTGCAACAAAAAAAGTTTGGTTTGTTTGGTCATCCAATTAGTTTGGTTTAGTAGTCTCTCAATTGAAAAAAAACTATGAATTTTTTGGTAAATATTAAAGTTTTTATATATATATTTTGTAACTTAATATACTTAATACAGTATTTGTAGAAATAATTAGTTGGAAAACTAAATAATTTAATTATTGATTTGTTTGTTTGTTTGTTTGCATTTATAATTATAGATTGCTTTAGCTTTATTGTCATCGGTAGCCCTGTGCCAGGCCGTCGTTGGTTTGGGTGGTCTAGGCTTTTATGGTGGACTCGGCGGTGGCTATTATGGCGGTCTCGGACTCAGTAGCGGTTACGGCAAAGTCTATGGTGGTTACGGTATGTATAAAAAAAATATTTTATAAAACATTTTAAGATATTTATCTTTCTTTTTTAAAAAGATATTTTAATATTTTATATAATGTTTTATAAAAGTTTTTTTTAATTATTAGTGAAATATAAATTGAAATAATATTTAGAAATAAATCAAATTATGTTTTATTTTTCAAAGGCTATCCGTCCTATGGAGGAGGACTAGGCTATGGGTTAGGCTATGGAAAGTCATACGGAGTTGGTTTAAGCGGTTTGGGCTATGGTTTAGGCTATGGAAAGTCATACGGAGTTGGTTTAAGCGGTTTGGGCTATGGTTTAGGCTATGGAAAATCATACGGAGTTGGTTTGGGCGGTTTGGGCTATGGCGGCTTGGGTTACAGTAGTTTGGGCTATGGTAGCGGACTCGGAAAGTCATACTATGGCGGCTATGGTCTAGGCTATGGTAAATCATACGGAGTCGGTTTGGGTGGTCTCGGCTATGGCTTGGGCTACGGAAAATCATACGGAGTTGGTTTGGGCTATGGCTCAGGTCTGAGCTATGGTAGCGGACTCGGAAAGGCATACTATGGCGGCTATCCGTCCTATGGTGGCTATTATGGTGGCTATTATTAAATTTAAAATTTTAGCATTATCAACCAATTACAATTTTTAAAAATTATTATTATAATTGTTGTTATTGTTATAATTATTGTTATAGTAGTAGTTAGTAAATTATGCCACAATTTTGTCATAAAAAAATGGTATTAATATTTTTTGAATTTATTTTATTATTTTTTTGTTTTAAAAAACATAATGTGTTCAATTAATTATAAATTTTTTTGATTAGAAAAAAACAATTATTATTAAATTTTAATAATTTTTTTGGTGTTGTTTCTAATCAACAAAAAAACAAACAAAATTTATTTAATAATAAAAAGATGCTTGATAAATTGAAATCATTTAATTTTTAATTTATTGTGTTACTATTTTTATATAATAAAAAAATTTGCTAGGATATAATATTACTTATATAAAAATGTATTTATTATTTCTGAAAAAATTAGTTAAATATTTAGCTATTCAAATAATATCACCTAGATACAATATTATAACAATAATAGGTTTGCTATTAATGTTTTTTTATTTGTTGAATTAAATTAAAAATAAATTATAATTTATAGGAAAGTTTAGTTTTATATATATATATATATATAACACATTTGACAATTAAATTATTTTATTTTTAATTAAAAATAAATAATATTTATATTTAATAAAAATTAATCAACTTAAAATAATTAAGTTAGCAATATAAAATTTAATAATAATTATTTGTAACGTTGTATATGCAATAACATCAAATAAAAACTGGTGTAACATAGTCTATGAATTGCGCCAATCACTCAACACTACTGTATAATATACAGTGTGTTTACTGTACTTTATATTAATATTATTACTAAATACTACTGTACTCTAATTGAAGGTCATATTATTCTACTAATAATATAAACTAGAGTGGTTGACAACTATTTATTCTATGTGTGTGTGTGTGTGTGTGTGTGTGTGTGTTATTATAAACCGGAACCGAAACCCTATATCATCTAATCGTGTAAAAAATACTTTATTTGTTGTTCTCTAGTAAACCTGAACCAAACCGTTTTACTCTAGTAGACTCCTAGTATAGTAAATAGTACACTATTATTATACTGTAGACCTATAAATGTATAAACACATAGAGTACAGTATGTTTGTTAAAATAGTTACTAATGTCTAACAGTAACTGCTATTAAATACTATGTACTAATTTGTTTATTCCATTATATTGTATGTGTGTTGACTGATATATACTATACACACTGTATTTTAAATATCAATAGTATTACATTAATAATACAATAATAATAAATACATAGTATTTAGTGTTGCGTTTAGTTAGCGTTAGTGTTGTATTAAAGAGAGAGAGAGAGAGAGAGAGAGAGAGAGAGAGAGCTATACTGTACTAACAGTTAATACAAACACACTGTTGTTTGGCTCAGTTAGCCATTGATCGGTAACACCATTATTAATACGACAACAACGACAACATAACATAATAAACACACAAATATGTCGGTTCACTATAAGTTCAAATCAAGTAAAGACAAACATTCGGTAATCGTTGATGGCCTACATATATCGGTCGGTGACCTTAAGCGGGCAATTATGCAACAGAGACGGTTAGGCAAGACGGCCGATATGGACCTACAGATTACCAATAGTCAAACTGGTGAAGGTATGTATTACATATATAACCTATAGATTATTGCCAACCCATACGGTGGCCAAACCACCCGATTGATTGATAGGTTACGATAGCCACCACCGCCGCTGCGGCTAAGTCCGTGTCGTGGTAGTGGTGTCGCTAATTGTTGATCCGTTATATCCGATTAACTTATTGTTTGTTTGTTTTTTTTCTTTACATATTCATTATTATTATAGTCTATCATATCGACTCGGAACTGGTACCGAAAAATGCGACCGTCGACGTGGCCCGAGTACCGATGGCAGCCTCCTCTGGCCAGCACAAGAAGTCCTGGTATGATTGTTGAACCATCAACTACTACTACTACTACTACTGTGACTGACTGATTGATTGACTATATCGCTATCAGTCGCCTACCGACGCTAACCTATCACTCATTATCTATATCTATGTGTGTGTGTGTCTGTATGACCTTCACACTAATGTTGGCCAAATACCGCACCCGCTGTCGCCCGATTGAGGTCAGTGGATAATCTAATCTGTGTATTGGATTACTAGAATTGGCCACTCAATCGGGTGTATCGGTCGGTCGGTCAGGGCATCGGTGTGTATGGACTGTCCCATTGTATAGACACGCACACTCAAACTAACTGTGATATTTTTAAACAGAAAAAAAATATTGTGATATATCTATTGATTGAATTAATTGTCTTTTAAAAATTATAAATATATTTTTTTTAATAGATTATTATATTTAAATATTTATTATGATTAATAATAATAATTATTATTATAATTGAAATCCATTTTATATATATATATATATATAGCTTACGGTACCGTAAATTGTATGTTAAGCTGTTTTATATGATGATATTTATTGTTATTTAAGTATTATATAAATTTTTATTGGTTTTTAAAATTTAATTAATTGAATGAATGATACTATTATTTTTTTTAAAAAAAAACCTATTGATGAACTAAAATCTATTCAATAAAGATTTGCAATTAATTGGTGTTATATTTGGCACTTAATATTATATTGCATTAATGTTTGTGTCAAAACCACTATATGATTTGCTAAATCAATTTTTGTATTCAAAACAAAAAACTGTTTTATTTGATTTATTATTATTATTATTATTATTTTTTATTAACTTATAATCATAACTATATATCTTTTCAATACATTGTATATAGGAATCGAGGAGAGGAGGCTAATACAACCAAAGGGGTAAGTAATTGATTATTATTTTTATTATTACTTTTAATTTTGTTTAATTTAAATTATTATTTTATTTTCATAGACCAACAATCAGGGACATATTGAATTGGAAAAGATAACTAAAGTATAGATATATATATATATAATTATTTTTGTATCTCTAAATTGATTGCTGTTTTTTTCTTGTTGTTGTTGTTGTTGTCTATCAAATATCCAGTCGTCAAATATATCGACATCTTATTCAACAGAAGATGAAAAGATCAAAGCAATGATGAGTCAGAGCACTCAAGACTACGATCCGTCAAAGTATGTGAAAACAAAGGGCGGACCTATTGGTCCACTACCGGCCAACTATACATGCTATCGGTGCGGACTACAGGGTCACTATATTAAACATTGTCCTACAAATAATGTAAGTTTTTTGTTAATCAATTGGTTGATATGTTTTTTTCAAATAAAAAAAATTATATTTCTAGACTGATGTCAAACGAAGTACTGGTATACCCAGAAGTTTTATGATACCGGCCAATGCCGACCAAAAGGGTGCCCTATTGACCGCTACGGGTGATTATGCAGTTCCTATTATTGATGCGTAAGTAGTATTGATTTGTTGTAAACTATTGTTTAGTGTTTTTTAAGTGTATTTTACTAATTAGATATTTATTGTAAATTTTTTTAAAAATTTTGGTTTTGTCTAATCCCCGCAGTCAAGCCTACAAAGAGATAAAGAAAGAAAAGCCGCCGTTTATGATGACCAACGAACCCGATAGTCACGATCCGAAACAGGAGATACCCGAAGACCTCAAGTGTATGACTTGCGGTGAACTACTGCAGGACGCGGTACTAACACCCTGTTGTGGCAACGGTTACTGTGATGAATGTATGCAACAATTATTATTAATATTATTATTATTATTATTATTATTATTATTATTAAATTATCGATTATTAACTTTATTATTAATTATATTAAGTGATGATAATAATAATAAAACAATTATTATTTTTTTCAAAATTAATTATTTATCTCCAAATTTCAATTCACATCATTAAAAAACTTGTGATATTACTGTATATATATTTGCTATATATTTTATATTACCTAATTTATTATGTTTATTATACCAGGTATTTATTTGTGTAAAATTATTATTTTTATAATTTTTTTAAAAAAAAATAACTACCGGTAATTATCTTAATATAACTATTTTTTATACACAATAGTCAACTGGTGTTAATTATATTGCAAAATATGAATATATATATATATAATCAAAATTTTATTTCATTATTATTTTTCAATATTTATTATTATTGTTTAATTTAACATAATTTTTCCAAATTTAGAAGTTTTCTAACATTTGATTTATTATATCAAAAATTTCTTTTACTCCTTAAAAAAAAAACTTCAGGTATACGTTCGGCACTATTGGAGTCCGAGTCGCACGAGTGTCCAACTTGTCACGAGACCGATGTCTCGCCCGACAAACTCATACCGAATCGATTTTTGCGGACACAAGTGGCCAAATTCAAGAGCGATACCGGCTATTTTATGCGCAATCATCATCACCATAAGCCGTCGCTACCGTTTTCGATTAACGGCCAGACCACTACCCCCACTACTACTACTACAACAGTAGCCGATAATCGGCCGGATGTGCCAGTATCTGCTATGTCCATCACCACCACAATCACCAATAATAATAATAATAATGTTGCTGAAGATAAACGAAATGTCCAGCAAATAATCCCAACCATTGGTACCGAAACTAATGACACCAATACTAGTAGTAGTAGTGATGACGATGTACTCAAACCGTTCAAAGAGATTGTTGAACAAAACGAAATCAAACCCGTCGTCAATCAGATTCAAGCGGTTGTCACCAAAGCGCGAACACCGTCACCAACATTACCGCAATCGCCTGTAACGACTACTACCGATGCTATCATTAATGAACAATCAATTGTAACAACAGTTTCGACGTCGTCACCGAAACCTGTTGTTACCGATACAGATACAGCTGTAGAGTCCAATAATGATGTAACACTAGACGAAGTGATAGCTGCTGCCAGTAGTAGCTCACCGAAAGTCAATAGCGAATCGGACACTAACACCGATGCCGACGAAGTCAATAATACAAACGAAACTCACAGTCTGGCAGAAAATGGTGTTTCACTTGAAGAGTAAGCGTTATATTTAAAAAAACAAAACATTTTTTGATATAAACTTTTTGATTTGTTTTAACATTTCTGTAATTTTTTTTATTATTCATTATCTCTGATGTTTAGTGGCACCGACCTAACTGGTGGATCCAACACACCCGTAGTTGACGAGCCAATCGATTCGTACACTTCGACCACTTCGCACACGGAAAACAAATCCGAATTTATGGGTAACGTTAATCCGGTTACATCGTTGGCTCAAATGCCGGTCCGACACATGCGACCGATGACTGGTCCCATACGGTCTATTCGGACAACAATTTCGGGACAAAATCCGCTATTGGGACGGCCACCGATGCAGTCAATGCCACCGCGTGGTTATCCGCCGCCACCACGACCCGGTATGGGTCAGCCACCCGGCTATCGACCAATGCACACACCCGGCGGCTATCAGATGGCAATGAATCCGATGGGCCCATACGGCTATCCGCCGCCACCGATGCGTCCGCAAGGGTACGATCCGTACGGCTATATGGGTCCCCGTGGTGGACAACATATGCCTCCAGTTCATCATCCAATGGGTATTAATAGTATGGGTGAAGCGCCCCCACCGGGTATGGAGTTATTTGTTTTATGTTAGACACACACCATATATATATATATTTTATACCGATTCTCGGTCCTAAACTGACCCGAAAATTATAAAAACTTATCGTCAATTTTTTTATCACTTATTTAATATATATATAAATTATAGATATATTTTGCCTGATATTTACCATATATTATATTCTAATTCATTACTTAATTAATAAATTTAAAATAATAACTAAATTAATATATAATTAATTAACTTTTTGTGATAAATATCTGTGATATATTTATTATTATTATTATTATTATTATCTGTAAATTACTATTTTATTATTATCATTATTATGTGTTATATTTTATAACAAAAAATTAGTCAATAATTTCAATAATGTTTGACACAAATTTTAGTTTATAGTTTTTATATATATATAATAATAATGAATGCAATTAAATTGTATTTATAAATAACATACAAAATATATATCTAATTTACTTATCAATCAAATATATAAATATATATATTTATTATTTCATTAATAACATAATAATTGTAAGCAATTGTATGTAAATTTCCAAAATTGTGTTTTATTTGATTATTCATAGAATTTATTTATGTGTTTAATGTTACCAATAAATTGTAATAATCTATTGGTTTTTTCTATAAATTATATATAAAAAAATAATAATTTAATTATTTGGTTAATTATGTTATATAATTTATATGTATAATAATGTATTTGAAAAATACAACCTATACTCAGGTATCCGATTGTCATATATATATATGATATATACTAACGGATTAGATCTATAAAAAAAAACAATGTCTTGAAAAATAATTGTTAGGTTTGGATCACAAGTGCCCGAATCGGATGCGGATCTGTAATCCATTTTTCAAAAGAGTTTTTAAATTATTATATACTTTGAATACACTATTATTATATTTTTAAAAACTAATTTACAATTATTATTATTATTTGACTAATTTGTTTTTGAATATTTTTTTTGTTTATTTTATTTTATTTCTTCAATCGATCCGTCTTTTATTAGGCTCAACACTAATGCCGGCCGACTCTCACTATCCGCACCACTATATGCCTCCCAATTACGACGACTACGACGACAAGTTTAACCGTTTTCAGCGAGAACTGGAATCCCGTTCGACTCGCGACCGACGCTATCGTCGCCCATCACGAGACCGTAGATCTCGTTCGCCGCGTCCGCGCCGTTCCCGATCTCGTCGATCCACTTCGTCGTCGTCGTCACGTTCATCCAGTTCCTCATCGCCGTCGTCGACGTTTACAATGAGCTCACGTAGTCGATCGCGTAACAGAAGTTATTCGCCGCGTCGACGGTCTCGATCACCGCGCGGCGGCGACCGATACCGCAATCGTGACTACGCTGGTGGCGGCGGAGGCCGTGACCATCGGGACCGATATCGTCGTTCGCGATCGCCATACGATCGAGATATGAACAGTAGACGTCACGATAGGGACGGTGGCGGCGGTCGACACGATAGTAGAGATAGACAACAACAACAACACAAAAAGCGGGATAAAGAGTATAAAGTGAGAGATAAGGATCGTAGTAATAAAGAACCCGACAATAGTCGTGACCGACGGCCAGCCGCAGCCGCCGATAGCTCTTCGCATAGGTCGTCGTCCCGTCGGACGGACGACAAGAAAAAAACTGAGGACAACAACAACAACAAGAAGAGTGGCCACAGCGGCGGCAGTCGATCTCATAATTGTGACGATAGTAAAGAGCGACACAAGAAACGAGTTAAAGAGGAAAAACGAAGCGTTGATAATAATAACAGTACAATCAAAGAGGTAGAGCCAAAAGTGGAACCAATAGAGAAGGAGGAGAAGAAGGTAGTGGTGGTCAACGAGGAAACCATCCGAAACGATAAATTTATTGCCGACGATGACATTGACGCCGACATCGTAGTCGGCAGCGCTGCTGTTGAGCAGCAAAAGGTTGTCGAGAGTGTAGTCAAAGTAATTAAAAGTGAATCAAAGGTATGGATACTATTTTGAAATTAATAGGGGATTTAAAGATGGACAGGAGGGTTGGGGTTAGCGAAAGGGGGGAGGGGTTTAAGTTTCAATTGAAAATTTATTGTTTTTTGAAAATTTATATATTTATTTTTTCTATAGTCATATGTTACAGAAAATCAATCGAAAAACAATGTACCAGAAGAAGAGCTTAATCTGTACGATATCGATGACAAAGACGATGATGTCGTCAATACCGCTGAAGCAGACAATTTAGATTATGAACAACTGATAGCCGATAGTGTCTGTTTCGACGACAACGACAACAATATCGATAATAGTGACGATGTTGTCGTGGCCGCCGCCGCTACCACTATCGATGAAGAGCCAGCAATGGATGATCTCATCGAAATGAAAGTCGAATGCAACGAATACGAAGACGAATTGGTAATCAAATCGCAGACATCGATTGTCGATAGTCTGGCGAATGAACGCAACGAAAAAACCAAACTAAATGTCAACGATGTTAAAGACAATCAGAAAAAGTTAACTGAAAAAGAGTCGGCAAAAGATAAGTCATCGGCGGATAAGTCGTCGTCGCATCACAAGAGAGACAGCGATAAATCGAAAGATAAAGATAAGTCGTCGTCTTCGCGAAAACATCACAAACATCATAAAAAACATAAATCCGATGACAAGGACAGGTCCAGGGATAAGGAACGCGAGCGCGACAGAGACAAGGATCGGGAACAACGCGATAAGGATAAGGACAAGGATAAGGACGATCATCATCGGGACAGACATCGCGATTCAAAGCGAAGCCGAACTGATCGCCACAGCAACAGATCGCCACCGGATGACAACAACAACAAACGATCGTCGCATCGATCGTCTGACGACAAGAGACTGAAGACAACATCATCGGTGGCGGCGACAACGGCCGATACTAGTAGCCATCGAAGTAGTCATAAAAGTCGTACCAAATAATAGAGGGACAGGGGCTGACTGACTGTCCATCAACTTAGACAATACTTTTTTGTTGTTGGTGTTGTTGGTTGACATATATATTTATATACTACTACTCATACACCCACACATACACTCTCATAGACAACAAATTTATAGCAAAAGTATATATATATATAAACAAAAACAAAAAAAAAGATTTTAAATTTTATAACTAATAGATTCACTCATTGTTCGCTTACATTATAAACATTAAAGTATACATTATATTTATATATATATACTGTATGTATATATATATACGGTATATAAATATGTTTAAAAAATTGTATGAAATATTTTGTAAATAATTTTTTTTTATTGAATGAATATATTATTATTATTATATTAGTATATATTTACATTTGTTTTGACACTATATATTTAAGTTAAATTTTTTTTTTGAAGTAAAACAATTAAACAAACAAACAAAAAAATGAGACAAACGTTAAAACATTTATTTGTTTTTATTATTATACAGTACTTATAATTTGTATAAAAATATATATTATATTGTCTTAAATTTTGTTGTTTTTTATTTTATAAAAATAAGTTAATAAATAAATTAATTAAAAAAATTGTATTTTTCTTGATTTATTATCAAATAATAAATGTTTTTTATTATTAGAGATTTGTAAAATAGGTTAACATTGATTTAACAAAAAATTATTTATATCTTATTTATTATATTTAATATCATTATACATATTACTACTACATATTACAATAATTATTTATTATTTATAAGCCAATAAATTTTCTAACAATAGTTATTATTTATTTAATTTAGTACAACTATTAGAGTAATAATAATAATAATAAATAATAGCATTTTATTTAACCTTAATTTTTAAATAATTTCATATTAACAGTACAACTATGGTATAGTAACAGAACATTATTATTGCTTGTGTTATAAGTCAATAATTTTTATAATTATTATTATAATTATAAAACATTTATTTATTTTTATAATTATTATAAATAATTTAACCATATAAATCATAATTTATTATTATTATTATTATTATTATTAAGTGTATATCACAAACATGGATTACTTAATGGTAATTTTTTTTTGTTATTGTTTAATTATGTAAAAAAATACACAAAAAAATCACATATATTTTTATTAAATAATTCAATTAAACAAAAAATAAAATAAAAATATTTCTATCGAATAATAAATTTTTTAAAATAACCAAAATGTTTGTTTAGTTATTATTATTGTGAAATGTATTGTATTTATGTTGAGATTTAAAAATATTTGTTTTTTTAAAAATTATAATTCATTTGATTGTCAAAAAACTTCAATTAAAATATAAATAAATAAAATAAAAATTCAATTCAATTCAATTAGATGTTAGCGTTTCTCAGTTTCAAACTCTTGATGAAGGCGTCCAACTCGTCCTCGTATTCCTGTTGATGGTCTCTATAGTGTAGTACATGTGTCGACCGATCCCAGCACTTGGACCTGACGTTATGGCCGGCCCGACGCCATGTGTCCACCAGATAATCATTGGTCGCAACGCTACTGACCAAATCGTCTTTCGAGTACAAGAAAAGCCCTAACAAACAAACAAATATATATATATATATATATATATAAAATTAGTTTATATATAATAAACAAAATAATCAGTTGATGGGACAGGTATGTCACCAAATAGAGGAGTTAAATACCTGGATATTTAGCTTTAGGATTAGCGTAGGCGTCGAAAGCAATGTCATAGTATTTGACAGATATATTCTTGAATAGCCTGAGAAAGCCGTGTATGGACTGTTCAATTACCGGCTGTACTATCGGGTTCAGTGTTATGGCACGCGATAGACCGGGTGCACAGTCATCCGGATAGACCATCGAATCGATGACCATTCCTTTAATAGAATCAAGTATATACTGATACTCGGGTTTGCCGATCATCTGTTTAAGTGTTAGCCCAAATTGGTAGCCGCCCACCGAAAATATGTGTATAACTATTTCGTTGTATTGGCCGCTTAGTTCGTTCAGTGTGTTGGCTATATTTTTGGCCACTGCCAGTCCGCCAACCGGCGGCAACAGTAGATCCAGCGGTGATGTCCGTACAGTCAGTACGTCGAAGCCACGTTTGAACCACATTTGCCGATACTTTTCAATGTGCTTGTCTTTGGCCAACATCCAGGCCAACAACAGTGTCAACGGTCTACGGGTGCCCGTAATAGCCATTGATTGTTGTTGTTGTTGTTGTTTGCCGTCAAACATGGCCATCGATTCCGGTGTAGCACTTGGATGCCAGCAGTTATGAAAACTCATATTTTTCGGCAAAATTAGTTTATTTTGTACCACTTTGGCTGCGGCTGCGGCTGCCGTACCGTACGATGAAGCGGCCAATTGTGTCTATTTTTTTATAAAAAAATTATCGGAAAGTGAGAGAAACAAACAAAAAAGTTTTAATAAATTTGATTTTTTAATGATATTATATATATACACAAAATTCATACCTTATTAGCAATATTAGTGACATTTGCGGCAAAACGTTGGCCACCAATCATTATACCGACAGTGGCCGCCGCGGTATTCCTATAGTTGTTATGGCCATTGAGATAGCATTTAATAATCAGTCGGTTATTATTTTTATTATAAATAATAAAATTATTTGATAGCAATTTGAGACTCATTTTGTTTCGTTGATTTGATAATTAATAAACAATTTTATTTAAAAACTAATTTTTTTAAACTAAATAACTAAAAAATAAATAAATAATATTTTTCTAAACAAAAAAATAATTAATAAATTGTTTAAATAATAAAATACACACAAAACTGTTGTATTTGCTGATAGTATTCACAGTTTTAATTGTTATTTATTTTATAAACAGTAAATGATTTGTCAAAAAAAATAATAATTAAATTAATAAATAATTAATTAATCTTAAAAAGTCATAAAATAAATACAATGCAATGATTTGATATAATATTTTTTTTTTTAAATAAAACAATTCATACAATTAGTTAATACACTAAGTAAATAAATTATTATTAATATTTTTTAAAAAATAATTTTTTGTTGAATTTTTAAATTAATAAATGTTTTTTTTAAATAAAATAAAAATATGATATTATAATTATACACCCAAACAAACAAAATTATATATATATATAWATATAAAGTTATTATTGCAATTAATTAGTTATAATTAATTAGTTATTTCCTTTTAATATAAATAAAAAAAATATTTCACAATTTAATTTAACTATTATTGCCGGTACATATTTTTTTTAAAAAAATTTATATATATATATTTTTTTTGAAGTAATATAATTTTAAAATAATATTAATATTATTTGTTATATTATTAATATATATACTTAAAAAATTCAATCATATATTTTTTAGTTTAAATGCTCTCACAGTGTAAATGTAATGATGAGTTGCAATAATTATATGAAATTTTTTTTAAAAAAAATTATTATTAATTGTTTGTACAGTAATGTACAGTATGTTTCACACACACACCCAATACTGTACAGTAACTGCTAGTAACTAATATACAGTATATACCTGTAGTGTACATAAAAAAAATATGTAATAATATTAATATTGATAACAATAATAATAATAACAACAACAATAATAACTATTTATATGATACAGTATATACACTAATAATTAATTGTTAACATACAGTATAAACTAGTGTCTAGTATATATATATATATATATATATATATATATAAACTCACACTTAGACACATAAACGGTGAGTACCAGTTTTTTATATATATATATATATAAAAAACAAAAATAAATTTTTATTTTATAAAAGGGTTGACATGATAATAATGATAATAATAATAATAATAATAATATACACTCAACCTTAAAACAAAAATTATTATTATTATATAATATTAACTATCTAAATAATATTTAAGCCAATAACAATTAAACATTAGCATTATATTATTATTATTTTATTTACAGTAAGTATTACATAAGTATATATGTGCTTAAAAAAATTTCAAAAATTTTTATTTTATTAATTAAAAACATGTATTTATATTATACACCTGTACTGTACACACACACACACACACACACACACACAGTTGAACTTGAAGTTTATATGACTCATTTAAAAATTCTTGAAACCTGATTGGCCAATGCTATGGCAACTAGTCATCCGATTTGTTTAGACAGCCAATCACTGCCACAGATCCAGTCACAGATCACGCAGTGTTCACGTGTACATTGTTTTTGTGGGAATTTTTAAAAAATCTTAATATTTAGATTTTACATATATAAATTATTTATTTTAAAAATACATTTTTTAAGCACAAGCACACATTTAAAAAAAATTCAAATTACATTAACTATTATTTTTTAAATAATGGTAATAATTATTAAAAATGATACTATTTATAAATTTATATTAATTAAGTTAATTAAAACACAATAATAATACATTTAATAAATTATAATCATATAATCGAATATATCTATATAAAATACAAATTCAATAATAATTCAATAATAATAATTAAGTTATTATTAATTAAAACATTAATAAACTTTTTTATTATTATTTAGTAGATCTATTTGTTAGTCATTTTTCAATGGGCTCAATATAAATAAATATATATTTATATATAACATATTTTTTTGCTATCACATAACGGAGTATATAATTACAAGTTAATGATTATTGAATAGTAATACTAATTATATATAACTATAATTAAAAGCGATAAAATTAAATAAATCACAATTTCTAAGTTAATTAATTGGATTATTAATTAAATCTAAAAAACTATTGAATATTTTATGTATGTTTTATATATATAAATGCAACAACAAATTTATATATATATATTAAAAATGTGTTAATTATATTGATTGATATTAAATTACGGTAATTAAAAAAATGTATTTATATATATTATATATACTGTATATTCAGTATAAATAGGACATTAAGTTAATAATATTATAAATTAAATTAAATTAAGTTTTTTTTAAAAATGTATAAAAAAATTGTTTCGATATATTTTTTTCGGGTGATCTCTCTCTCTCTCTCTCTCTCTCTCTCTCTCTTAAATGTTGGCATTTCTCAGTTTCAAACTCCGGATAAATGAGTCCAACTCGAGCTCGTAATCTGTTTTATGGTCTCTATAGTGCAATACATGTGTGGATCGGTCCCAGCACTTGGCTCTGACATTATGGCCGGCCCGACGCCACGTGTCGATGATGTGCTCGTTTGAGGCCACACTACTGACGATATCGTTTTTGGCGTATAAAAAGAGTCCTTTTTAAAAAAATAGATAAATTGTTTACAATTAGTTTATTCTACAGAGATTTGTATGTGTGGACGGGTAGTTATTAGTAGGAGGGTTCGGCGGAAATCCAGTATATATTGTATATGATATTTACCGGAATATTTGGCTCCGGGATTGGCGTACGCATTGTAGGCCATGTCATAGTATTTGACAGATATATTCTTGAATAGCCTAAGAAAACCGTTGATAGACTGTTCGATTAGTGGCTGTACCGCCGGGTGCTGTGTTATGGCTCGGGACAGACCGGGTGCACAGTCTTCGGTAAAGACCATCGAATCCAATATCAGACCTTTGATTGAGTCCAATAGATAACGATTTTCTTGAATACCGGTCAACTGTTGTAGTGTCAGACCAAACTGATAGCCGCCCACCGAAAAGGCGTGGACTACTATTTCGTTATATTGGGCGCACAGTTCGTGCAAACTTTTGACAACATTGGCCGCCACTACTTGGCCGCCGACCGGCGGCAACAGTAGATCCAGTGGCGATGTCTTGACAATTAGGACATCGAAGCCGCGTTTGAACCACATTTGCTTATACTTTTCAATGTGTTTGTCTTTGGCTAACATCCAGGCAAATATCATTGTCAATGGTCGCCGATGACCAGCAATGGCCATTGACGGCGATCGATCGTATACATGGTCTACTATGGCCATCGACGATGATGACGATGATGCCGGCGAACAGCGGCCAAAGCTCATGTATTTCGGCAATTTTAGCTTATTGTTTAGGGCCGTTATGTTAGATGCCGTACCATAGGATGTAGGTGCCAATTGAGTCTATAAAGTTTAATAAAATTATTATTAATAATTTGTTTTTTAATTAATAAGTTTTAATTAATTAATTAAATTTAAAAAATTAATTGCTATTTATTTGTATAATTTATTGTGTAATTAATTAAATAAATATTTATTATTATTGTATAATTATATTTTTAGCTACAATTTTTTATTTGTTGGTGTCAAGGTAGATTAGAAGTTTTTAACAAACAAAAAATTTATTTATTTATTTATTTTAAAAAATTAATGTCATTGTAAAAATATCATTATTAAATATTTATTTAGCCTGTTTTATATTAAAAAACACTATTTTAAATATTTAAAAATTTATATTAAAAAAAGTGTAATTTAGTTAATACTATTAATAAACATATTATTATTATTATTATTTTATTTTTTGATGACTATATTTAAAATTTATAATATAATTACTTAATTTTTTTTAAAAAAAAGTTATATAAATACTATATAATAAATACATTGTGTAAATTACATACACACACACAGTGTTTAATCTTATTATGTGTGTGTATGTGTGTGTTTGTGATTATAACGACAGCAACAAAAAAATTATATAATTTTTGTTGTTGTTTGAAAAAAACCATTACATTACCTGATGTGATGTATTGGATATATGGCGGACATTGACCACAACCAGGAGCTCATGTGTGGCATAATTTTGTAGCAATTGTTGCGATAATTTTTGATGATTTTTCAATACATTTCGTAAAGCCATTGTTTTTTTGTGTATATATTACGAGAATATTTTCACAGAATATTTAAAAAATTATAATTAAATTATAACTTATTATTATTATTATTAGTGACTTTCAATTTTTATTTAATGTTATGTTTTATTTTTTGGTGACACAATTTAAAATGAAAAATTTTTTTTAACTAATTTTTTGTTCAATAAAAATTATTTATTGAAATAAATATATCATACGATCAAAACACACAAACAAACAAACAATTAAATAAATTACTAGTAATTTACGTAAATAATTATAATAATACAGGAATTAAATGTAATCCACGAATAATTAAAAAAAAATCAAATTTCCTGAAACACTAGTATTGAAAAATGTTGTTTATATTATCAACAAATTTTTAATTCAATTAATTATTAATTATTTTTTTTAAAAAAAAGTCAATTCAAAAAAACGTATTGACTATTATTATTAACAATTATTAAATAATAATAAAACTTTAACACTAAATGTTTAGCACTTTTATATCAAAATAATAATAATAATAATAATTTCTGAGTTGACGTGATGTCTACTATACTTATTATGTCTAATCAAAAAAAAATTATTTAAACTTAAATATCAAATATATATTGATATATATTGAAAACTTTTCACACATTCAAACAATAAGTTTATTTCAAAAGATTTCAATTTTAATGAGACATTTACTGAGTAAGTGATAGTATATATATTATATAAACCACTTGAAAATTATTAGTTACAACTTATATATACAGTATATATAAAGTATAAGTGAATAACTATTAATAATAAAAAATTTCCTGTTTCTAACCGCTTAAATAAATAACTTATTATATTATTATTATTATACTAATTATTTGTAACAATTTTTTCCCCATTCAAATCATTATCATAAGGTATAATAAAGTTATATCATATATACTGTATAATACAGTAGTATTACGTAAAGAGTTCAGTTGCACTGTTAATACTACAGTATACTAGTCAGCAATATATATAAAGTATAAATTAAATACAATATATATATAGACATAAAATATTTATAATATATATATAATATTAATATACTGTATATAAAGTTTTTATTTAATTTTCTATTATTTGACAATTTACTTGTTAGTTAGTAGTTAATTGAAACTGTCAATTGATTTTTTTTTTGAATAATATCATTTATAATCGTTCATATCAATAATCAATGGGGGTGATTATATTATTTGATATTTGTCACAACTAAGCACCTGGGTGTTCAAGTGTATAACCATCATCATCACCACCACCACCACTACCGCACACATACATAGCGATACATACACGTACCAGACATGTGCTACATTGTAGCAATACCCGTGCGCGCGATATATAGTATATATACTGTAGATATATAAAATCATACCACTTATCACTCTATGTTGTATAAAGATATATATATATATACCGGTATATAGTATTGGTATATACAGTATATATAGTTTATATGTATGTATGTATGTATGACTACTAGTGGCGTGATTTTGTTGGCAACGAATCAGTTGTCAACCCAGTTATGTGATGGCAAACCATGCACTGAGTCAGTGCACAGTTAAATGATTAGTATTATTAGATATATTATTGAATTTGTATATATATATTATATACAGTATATAATTTATATATGTATTATATAGTACATTATTTAAACATGCATATATATATAAAAAATATATAAATTACTAGTATATACATTATGATATCATATATATATATAAATTTATAATATATGCATATATACATTGTAATAAATTCCCATAAATTTTTTTTGCTACTATTTTATCTCAAAAAATTTCAGATATTGCAGATTTTTATTTTTTGGTTATAATAATAAAAACATTGTTAGCTTATTATTATTATTATTATTATTATTATATGATTATGAATTTATGATAATGACAAAATGTGTTTATAATTTTTGCATTAAAAAATTGGGATTTTTTTGTATTGAAAATAATTGTATTGTATTAATAAATTAAATTATAATATCATGTAATTTAAGTGCATTTAGTTTATTTTTATACAAATATTTTCAATTAGGAAAAACTTATTTTTAAAAGTAATTTTGTTAACAAAAAATAGGTTTTTTATTTAATAATTTAGAAGTTATAAAAATTGCATATTTTAATCAATATAATAATAGCATACAAATAAAATAGTTTTTAAAAATTATAAAATTTAAGATTATAATTGCATAAAAAGTTATAAAATTTTAGATTAATATTTTGTTACAATTGAATAATGACAATATTATTGAAATGCTTAATACGTGATAATATAAACATTTTTTTTTATATCTACCGGTAAGTTAGTACTTATAAATCTAGACATTGAGAGAGAGAGAGAGAGAGAGAGAGAGAGAGAGAGAGAGAGAGAGAGAGAGAGAGATTAGCAATTTAATACATATTTAATACTATTGTTACTATCATAGAAACAAATAGATTTATTAGGAAAAAAATATTAATTGATATACTGTATCAATATTTAGCTATTTATAATTAAGTACTTATATTGGTAATTTTAATAAAATTATGAAATTATATAATAAACTTTTTATTATCAATGAAATTTATATTAAACTATTATTTATTTTTTTAATTATTATAAAATAATTTGCTAATGCTAAATGACAAAAATCTAAGTCATTAAACCTAAATTATTTACAAAAAATTATTTAGTTTGTATTTTTGATTAAAATTGGATACTATTTGGAAATAACTAGTTTTAAGAAAAATCATATCATAATATTGTTTTTTATATAATAATTATATTATTATCATTATCATTATTATTATACATCAGCTTACACTTTATATATATTAAGTAATATGCTATGATATATTGTACAATATGTATTGTAATACAAATATTTTTAATAAATTGTTTATTAAACAAATAATCAAACTAATTCAAAACAAATATTGTTTAATATTTATTAATACAATATACGTCAATAATTTTGATGTATTTTATTTTATTAAACAACTAAAACATAATACAGTATTTAATATAATATAAAATTTAATTTAAATTAATATTTGTTTAAATGATTCATATATTCTAACATAACATTTAACTTGTATTTATAATTATTATTATAAATATTTAACAAAAATATTTCTAATTATTATAAATTATTACGTGATGTTACTGTAGAAACAAAAAATTATTTATTAAAATATTTATAAAATTTATTATATTTACAAGTTTTAAGTTTTAAAAAATTGAAAATATTTTTAATTATTTATTACATTAAGGAAATCAATTAGTAAAATATATATATATTTATTATTTATTTTCTAGAAAATATCTAATAGTATTTACAAATATACTGTACATATAAAACATTTTTTTATTACTACATATTAGTCATTGAATATGTCTATCATAAATGTGATCACTTGTCTAGAATAGTGTTTAAAAATAAATAACATTTTTAATTAAAAACAAAAATTAAATACAATTTTAAATTTGTTTATGCCTTCAAAAAGCAAGTATATATTGAAAGTTATTGATAAATATTTATCTTAAATAATCAATTAATAAATTTATTTATTAATATTTTCATTTTATTGAAATAAAACAATTTCACAATAATTTTTTGAATTCAAACTAGTAGTTAGTATCTAATCATAAATATAAAAATTGTAAATATTTGACTTAAATAAATATACATATAAATATAAAAATATTATATGAATTTTCAAAATCAATTTTGTTAAATTAAATTTGTTAAACTATAGTATATTTTTTTGTTTGGTTTTATATTATTATTTTCATTATTAATAATATTATTATTATGATATTAATGACTTTTATTATAGTCATTATTTTATTTTTATTATTAATAAACTTGTTTAGTCATCTGAATATCATATGATATAGCAATTTATCTATTGTCTAATAATAAACAACAACAAACAAATAAAAGTATATTACAGTACATTATATGCATAATAAAACTTTTTTTAAAAAAATTAAATTTAAGTTACATTAATACTGTGATAATAATAATAATAATTTTAATTGTCTTTTATCACCAAAACAACTAACTTAACATTGGTGTCAACAAACTAATGATATTAGTTGTAAAACATATGCCAAATAAAAAAATAAATTAAAACTACTTAATCATAATATGCCAAAAATAAATTTTAAAAAAGTTAATATACCCAGGTCAATAATTGTCAAACTACTGTATATTGTATAGTAATAGTAATGTCATTGTACTGTATTTGTAAATTTATTTTTAGTTTTTTTTAAAAACAACAACAACTAACATTAAAAATTAGGAAAAAATATTTTACATGTGATATTATTATTGTATTATTATATTTATATTTTAAGTTTTATATTATAAATTATTATAATTAGTTGTGTAATATTTTGTAACTATTATACAATTTTATAATACAATTTACATAAAATAATAATTATAATAATTTTAATTTTATAAATATGCTATAACTTTCTCTCAAAAAATACTGCATTATAGTAATAGTAGTGGTAATAATAATAATAATAAAAATGATAATTAACTTAATTTGTATAAACAATTAAATTTTTACATTAATATATATATGTTATAAAATTTTTTGCTTTACAAGTTATTTGATTATAAATTTTATATACAGTATAGTATTAATAATATTTAATAATAATAACCACAAAATAAGTACATCTATTGATAGGACAGGTAGAAATATTTTGTTGTTGTTATGTTGCACCCATATATTATGTGCTCTGGAAAATATCCATTTCAATGGCACAGTTAGACTATTTATACCCCGGGTTTTAATCATTATTTTACATAGATGAGTTTTATATTACCATATATTAATATCTATACACACACACATACAAAAATTAAGTACTTGAACTTGAAATACTATATTGTTTTTTTATATATATGATAAATATAATTAAGACATTTTAAAAATTGTTGTATACAGGTATATATATATATATTTATATTAGAAAAATTTCCACCAAAACAAATAAATGGTGCAATTTAAAAAAAACAAAAAATTATAATTATGGTTACCCTGTATGGTATACCCAGGGAACGGTAGGGGGACAACAACAACAACAAGGCCTTTCACTCAATTATTGTTGGGCTATAGCTATACATATATATATATATATATATATAGTTAGAAATTATTATTGAAAAAAAACTAGATCTATCAATACATTAATGTGTGATAATGAAAATCAAAAAAAATATTGCCCCCTCTCACTACCCCCACCAGCAAAAAAATATAGTAACCATTATTATATTTATCAAGGATTTCAATGAAAACAAAACTTTATATTCTATACTTACTTATTATTATTGATGAAAACTTTTAATTTTTTTTTTTGAGGACCAGTAGATATTGTATGTATGATTTTTTTTGTTGTGGTGATGAGGTGTATGTCAAGGTTACAAACCTAAGTGATAAGTATATATAAAACAAAAACTGTCAAAATATTTTTTGAGATATTTTTTTAAAAGTTAAATCTAATACTACTAAATATATTGTAGGAATCAAAAAAAAATATTGACAACAAAATAGTTGACATTTTGACAGTTTTTTAAATAAAAATATTATTAATAATTATTAATTAATAAATTTATTTTTTTATCACTGTTATCACAATTATTATCATCATATTATTGTTGTTATTGAGAGACAACTACAACAAACAAACAAACAAACAAAAAATGAAACTTTTTGTAAGCATTTAATTAATTATTATTATCTATTCATTTTAGTTTTGTTTGACTTCAAAAAAAATTATTTTATAAAATAATTTATCAAAAATAATATAATAATAATTAATTAATTAATAATAATCTATGATTTTCTTAACTTTAGATTATTGTCGCATCGATACTATTGTTGTTAGCCCTGGCCTATACAGCCGTCCAAACCGATGCTGCCATAGTGACCATTAAACGCGGCGGTACCCGATTTAATCCGTGGGGCTGGTCGTCGGGTGGACTCGGCTACCGACAACATTATTATCATAGCCGAAACTATGGCTACAATAGTAGGCGGCCAGTAGTTGGCTATTATAATCATCATTATTATAGACAAAACGCACCGGTATATGGCTATCATAATGGCTATCGTCAACGTTATGGATACCGTCGGAGCCATCATTTAGGATACAGTTTAGGTGGATATAGACTGTAATACTACTACTAATTGTTTTTTCTATTTATTATTTTTTTTATATATTGATGTTTGAAATATAACAACAATTATTATTACTATTATTGATTTTAATAATAATCAAAATTTTATTGTACAAAATTGTATAATTTTATTGATTTTTGTTATGTGTGTAATTACAAAATTAATTTATAAAATAAATCATATTTTTTTTTATAATGCAATAAATCTAAAAAAATTGTTTAAAATTTAATTTTCTGATTAATAAAATAGTTTTTTTTACTGAACACTAAATAAATATTTGTTTTAATTTTTTTAGTAGTTATTAAAATTAATTAATATTAAAAAATCGATTATTTACTTTAAATAATTTGTTTTACTAAATATTAGTATAAAAATTATTTATATGAGATTATTATATATTTATAAATATTAAAAATAAATTCAAATACACATAATATGTGATATTATTAATTAATTAATTAAATATTAAAAGATTACATGATATAAGTTTAGAAAATTAGATATTATTATAATTATTATAAATAAATATAAATAACTTTTGTTTTTTGAAAAAATACATTTGATTTTTTTGTTTATTTGTTTGAAAGTAAAATTTGTTGACATCTAAGGCCACGACAACTCAATGTCCCCCCAGATCTCTGACACTAAACTATACAACAGTATAATTATATGTAAAAAAAATATTTAGTCTTTTTTGAGATTAATATTTATATTGAGAAACATTATACAGAGATTCCGGTTTCTTTATTTGCTGGGGACAGACCTATTGCCTAAAAATAAAATTTATGCATATATATAATCTTATTTTAAAGCTTATGTATTACTAGGGGGATCAGGTATGGGATGGGAGGGGGTGATGGATAGATAGATATAGATAGATAGATAGATTGGGCATATATTATATAAGCCTATATTATTTTTACCCATCAGTAGATCTTTGATATTTCAAGGTTATGTAAGCTTTTATTAGTGTATATTTTTTGTATTTGATTTTGATTTTGATTTTTTTTTTTTTTTTAATAAATTAGACCTAAAATCTACAAAATTTTTTTGACTATAAAAGGACCAACAAATTCACATTTAAAAATCATATCAACTGCTGAACTAATTGATTGTCTCAATAAGTCTTTCAATTTTTTGTTTGTTGAAAACTCACCAAAACTTTACTACAAAAATAAAATGAAACTTTTGGTAAGTTTTTTATATTTGTGTTTATTATTTTTTTTGGATAAACTTTTTTCTTAATATACTTATTGTTTAATATTTGATATTTATTTGATTTTTTTTTGTTTTTTTTTTGATAATACAGTTGTGCTTCGTTTTTGTCGGATTGTTGGCCGCTGTCTACGCCACAGTTATCACCGCCCCGTACGGCTACGGCGGCTACCGAAGCGGCTACTATGGCAGCAGCTATGGCTATCCGAGCTCATACGGCTCGTATGGATACGGACGTTCACTGTACTACCCGTCCTCCTATGGCTATGGTGGCTACGGAAACTACGGCTACGGATATTCTGGACTCAATGGCTACCGTAGCGGTTGGGTCTGGTAGACAACGACCTCCCCTTCCCCTCCCTCCCCCCAATCCATCCATCCATTGATTTGTATAATTTGTAAAATATAAAAATTTTGCAAAACAAACAAACAAACAAAAAAAACCAACATTTCTCAAAACATTTGCTTTTTTTTAAAAAAAAATTGATTGTTTGTATTAATTGATGATGATTTTTGTTTTCTCCCATTTTTAAAAAAAAATTCATAAATAAAAAAATGTTTTTATGCAAAAAAAATCAGTTGATTTGTATCTATTTTATTATGAAATTAGTTTTTTTGTTGTTGAAATTATTTCATATGGTCTGAAATCTTAAACTACTAAAAATAAAACATTATTTTGTTGCTAATGAAAAAATATTTATATGTAACCTTAAACTTAGTTTTTTATTTTTAAAAGTTATACAGTACAAGATCAAGGACAGTTATCACAGTGAGTGAAATTTTGTGAGGGGATTGGCCATTAATTTTATTGCCTATTTATATATATATATATATATTTATATATCTAACATATCTCATAGATGTTTAGGTTAGTTGTGTAATGGAAAACCTATTTTTAAAATTAAAAAAACAAATTATAATAAAATATTTTTACGGACAAAATAATTTAATGTAATTGAAATTGAAAAGTGAAATGTTGTTTGTTTGTGTGTGGAAATAATTTTTAAAAAACAATTTTTATGCCATTATAAACAAAAGAGACAAAAAAACAGCAACAACTGGTTTAAAATTGTTGTATTTGTTTTTATTGTTGAGATTTTTAAATTTTTTGAAAACATATGTATATATATAGCAAACATACAGAAACTATCTATAAAATTAAAACAAAGAGAGAGAGAGAGAGAGAGAGAGAGAGAGAGAGAGAGAGAGAGACTAGTTTTTAGATACCATTTATTTATCATAACCTAAAATCATACCTAAAATTCTACTACCCTTTCCTAAAACAAACACAACCAACCATTTAATGGCTATCATATTTACTGTTTGTAAAGTTTGGTATCGACCAGTTTAAAGTCATGGGTTATCGGGGGACTAAATAGCCTAAAGTAATCATTATTGAAAAATAGCCATTGAGTGCCCAGTAAGTAGCAATATATATATACCCCTCTCAGACCCTGTACTCTCCCTGTATTTATTTGTTGAGAAAAATAAACCACAAAAAAACTAGTTGTTATTGTTGTCATCAAATACTAAACAGCAATATTATCAATCATATTAAAAGCTAGAATTTATTTTATTTATTTACAGTAAAAAACAAAAATTAATTTTTGTGTAAATGTTTAAAGTTTAGTATCTATTAATAATTTACTATTAAATAAAAACTAAAAATTTAGTAAACAAACTATAAAAAACATTATTTATCATTAAAAGAAATTACATCAACAAACAACTAACTGATTACACTAATTATAAGATATTTATAAATATATATAAATTTTTAATTTCTTTTTTTCTTTGTTCTGGCGATTGACGTAAATATTTTCACTTTAAATATGTATAGCAATTGAAGAGAGAGAGAGAGAGAGAGAGAGAGAGAGAGAGAGAGAGAGAGAGAGAGCGCTTTTAATGAGAAAGTGATAGATTTGAGGGGAGAGTCCTATTTGAGAGATAGAGAGAAAATAAGGAAAGAGAGAGAGAGAGAGCAATGAGAAAGATAGAGAGTAAGGGGGAGATATAGAGGCGACGGTCAAAGGGGACCAGTAGTCAGATATGGTTAGACCAAACTGAAAATCAAGGTTAAGGTTTTTGTTTGTAAAATCTCAACTACTAATCACAACTACCACAACAACAACAACAACAAAGTCAACAACAAATTATTTTAGTGGTAAAAGTTGACTATAAAAAGGTCAACCCATAGGCAGACAAAGTATCTATCATTCAAATTGCAACCAAACAACAGCTCAACTCAACCCAAAAAGTTTTTGACAAAAAAGTTTTTTAAACAAAAAACAAAACTTTAAAACCAACAAAATGAAAGTTTTGGTTAGTAATAGTAAACTTTAATAGAAATTAAAATTTTTAATTATTTTTATATATATTTTTACTAATTATTAATTTAATAATTGAATCAATCAATAGATCTTATTAGCTCTCTTTGCTCTGTTGGCCACCACTTACGCCACTGTCATCACAGCCCCGGCCAGCTATAGCTACTCCGGCGGCTATGCCCTGCCCTACAACTATGGCTACTATGGTCTCGGTCTTGGTCTCAACAGCGGCTATTACGGCCTAAACTCTGGCGCCGTGTCGTACACTCATCCCGTCTATTCGTCCTCATATGTGGTACCGTCGGTCAGATATACGGCACCCGTCAGCTATGGTAGCTATAGCTATGGCTATCCAGTGGGCGGACTCTTGTATAAAAAGTAGTAGTTTTTACTCGCAGTTCAATCATTTTTGATTGAAATAATATAAAATTAAAAAAAAAATATTAATAACAACTACAACAAAAATATTGTAAAATTACTGTAAAATTATATAAAAATTTTTTTATAAAATATGTATTGTATTTTAAATTTGCAAAAAAAAATTTTTTTGATGTCTCAAAACAAATACTTGGTTTAAAAATTGGTTGAATAAAAATTTGGTTGAATTTTTGCTCAAAATTATTTCAGTTATTTATTTATTTATTATTATTATTTTTGGTAATGTTTTTGTGAAAGTTTGAAACTATATTTTTTAAAAAAATAATTAATTATTTTTATTTAAGTGTAAATTATATTCAGCTGTTATATTAGTTTGCTATGAAATTTGAATATAATTTTTTTCAATTAAATAAAACTATTTAAAAAAAAGATAAAATAGTTTTTTAAAAAAAACATTCACACAATCAATAAAAAACATTACAAAAAATTATAATAAATCATTTTGGATTAATTGTAAATCCAAACAACAAGTGTTACAATTAATAAAATTAAAATAATTATATTTTTTATTTATAGAAAAAAAAACTTGAATTTAATTTATATAAATATTTTTTTGTTTGTTTAATTTGTTTATAACTTTACAGTAAATCTTAATTGAATTCAAAAATTAATATCTTCGGCAAGTCTTTCGATTTCATCTAAAATAAAATCCATGTCCTGAACGGTACGTTTCGGCAAACAGGTCAAACTTAGGCGGAAAAAATTTGGCAACTGTTTGGTAGTCAACGGTTGATAGCCGATCATCAACGAACCGCAGTCCATCATACGGCGTTTGATTAGCGGCGCCACTTTGGACAACTTGTCGGGCGGCGGCAGTTCCTGGCCATTGATGGACGACCGCATCAATGGTGGTATATACCAGAACGATACGAGATTGGACTCAAACTTGTCCATTACTAGCCGAAAACCAGGCCGTTGTCTTAGTTTTTCGGTAATATATCTATACAGTGGCCCCAGCCCCCGAAAACAGTGGACAAAACATAATTATCAATCAATTTTCAATCAAATTAGTCAATATTCAGTCAATACATAGCCATATCGTAGACATTATCGATCAGTGCGGCCATTCCGTGGCCGCCGTACGCCTTGAGCTGTAACCACAGTTTCAATGTATCCGATTTGCGGCCGCATTGTATACTTTTGTCGCCCGAGTCGTAGCTGTCGTCATAGTATTTGTCGCTTTGAAACAGATATTCGGCCCGTAATGAGTTGGTCTCGTACAGTATGGTCGGATGTCTGGTCAAAATAACGTTGCACTGTTGCGGCGTACAGGTCAACTTATGGAGATCCCAGGTTACCGAATTGGCCCTTTCAATGTCGGCCAACAAACGCGGTCCGTGAGTGGGCGAGAACAGCCAACCGCCGCCCAGAGCTGCGTCCACATGAAACCAGAGATCGCCAAACTCGCGGCAAACGTCGGCCAACTCGCCCAATGGATCAAAAGCACCCAACACTGTTGTACCGGCAGTGGCCGCCACCATAAACGGTACTTTGCCGTCGATTTTTGCCGACTTTATACTGTCCCTTAAGTCAGCTGCTCGCATATGTCCGCTTAGGTCGGCCTTGACTTTGATCACACTATCGGTTCCCAAACCCAACCAAATGGCACTCTTGACAAACGAGTAATGAGACTAAAAAATAAACATTTTTAATCCATAAATTTGTTTTGCATCCCTCCCCCACCCCTCCCATCCCTTCACTAACCTCTTCCGATGCAAACATCACCAGTTGTCCCAATTCTCTCACTCCGTGGCGTTTACTGTCGGGAAAAGCGTGTTGTCGGGCCAATACCATAGCGTACATGTTGGCACTGGAACCTCCCGGTGCAAACATACCGTCAATAGATTCGTAATCATAGCCAACCAATTGTCCCAAATATTTGATTAAATACTTTTCAATTACCGAAAATACTGGCGATATCTCATATGTGGCACTGGAAGTAATAAAAAACAATTTATTAATAGTTAATAAATATTTTTTTTAAATTTATATAATGTTTTATATAGTAGTTATACAATTATTAACTAATTATTGTTTTTATTAGTAATATTTTGTAAATCATAGTTATATAATAATAACTTTAGATACAAATTGCAGCTTTTTTTACTAAAAAAATCAAATTATAAGTTAACTAAATTTTTTAAAATTAAATTATTATTATTTATTTTTGGTTTGACATACGCGCTGGTATTGAGAGCATCGGTAATGAAAGCGCCGGACAGTGCGTACTGTTCGGCGCCGCCATAGAGTTGATTGTAAAAGTTGGGATGACCTATATGTTTAGCACCCATAGATAGGGACCAATTAGTTAATAATAATAATAATAATTAAATTCAGTATTTATTGTTGTCTTACATGTCTTAATGCTGTGTCGGATAACTTTGCGGCAAATGTCGATCAGTCGGCCGTCGGACTCACTATTATCGCCAATAGTCAGCTCAAGAATATTCTGTAATAAAATATTTTTCACAAAATTGTGAATAACATTAAAATTATAGAATATTTTTTTTATAAATCATTATTTTTAGATATTTTTTGTTTTTATTTCTATAAATTTTTGATTATAACTAATTAATTGATTGTTAAATTATATCTGAAATAATAATAATAAATTATCAAAAATATTATTATTTTTATTTATTTTTTTAAAACTAACCTCCAGTTCCTTTGGATGTTTAAAGTCGACAATATTTTTGTGATTATCTTTAATAAAGTTTTCATTGCCGACAATCTTCTCCTCATTTAATATGATATCAAATATTTGTCGCAAAAACTCGTTACCAGTATTTGAAGTCATAGTTTGTTAGGTTTAATGAAGTTATAATTGAAAACTGACAAAAAAACTGATTATTTATTATTATTATTATTTGTTGTTGTTTTGGTTTTATATAAACATTCAATTGATATACAAATTATTTGATATTTAGTATTATATAAAAAAAATTATTTGATATTTAGTATTATATAAAAAAAATTATTTTTTGGTAGTGGCACTGGTAGATAATTTTGATGGTAACTCCAGTATTGAACTACACAATAATTGTGTATTTTATGATACAAGTGCTTACTAACATCTAAGCAACAACAACAACAACACCCAACCAACCAACAACAAAAAATTAAACTATTTTTAAAAGAGATATACAGATAGATTACAATACATTTTTCAAGGGCTTATCCTAAAGTTTATGATACCGGTTCCCCCTCCTGGACCCTCCCAACCAAAAAAAAACTAACTAACTAACTCAGAGTACATTTTTTAAATATATTATATATATATTAATAAATAAATTTAAATAAATATGTACAGTACTTGTATAATTATATCATTATTTATATATGATAATTATTAATTAACATTTTATTTAATTAAAAAATATATCATTAATCATTAAAGTGATTGTTTTGTTGATTTTTAAAAAAAATAATTATTGTTTGAGAGATATTTTAATATTTGATTTATGTTTTCTGAAAAAATTAATTTAATTTATATTAAGGTAATAATTATATATATATATATATATATTGTAGAAATATTAATAGTTTATTTTTTAAAACAAAAATAGATTTTATCGTGTCTATGATATCATAGGTAAAAGTTTTTTTTCTTGTTGTTATTCAATTTGCAATTAAAATTTTAAAAAAATGTATTATAATATTACTTATTTTACTAACTTTAGTAATAAATTATATAAATATACAAGTATTTATATTAGACTAATTTATATATTTATATATATATCAATATTGAGAAATTTCAAGGTTAGTTTTATCTTTATATTAATTTATATAATATACATGTACAATATAATCAAACAATAACAATATATATTACTATTTTATACTTTATGTAAAATAATTGTTTCAATTGAAATTAATAGATTAAAATTAAACGTTTATATCAATATATTTTTAATATTATATATATTATAATATATTTAAAAAATTACTATATTAATTATATTTGATTTGTAGTAAAAGTACTATAATTAGTATTGCATAAAATATTTATTAATTTAGAAATATATAGATATATATATATATATATAGCCTATAATATTGATTATAATAATAATAACAACTAGCAAATTTAATATTATTATAATTCAATAGCAAAAATTATCAATGTTGTTTTCATTTTTAAACACACACACACACACACGCTTATATTAAACATTGATAATATACTGTATGTATATATATATAGTATATACTGTACTTTATATCAGGATATTATCTCTACAATTTCATTTGTTTTTTAATTTTTGCTGAAATATACAGTATATATATATATATAGATATTTATGTATATTAATTATATGTAGATTCAATATATATATAAGTTTTTATTTGTTTTGTATTTTTTTAGTTAGTTATGAACTGATAAAACTAAACAGTGAACTTGTAAACAGGCGTCTATTTGTTATATAAATTGATTATACTATTAATATATGATATGATATTTTCAGTAATATTATCCAATTTTATTTGAACCAATAAACTGTAGTACTATTATATAATTTACTTGGAAATACAGCATATAATATATATATATATATTTGTCTATTTATGATAATAATAATAATAATAATAATAATAATAATAATAATAATAATAATAATAATAATAATTAAATTGTTTACAAATTATTATTATAAGTTAATTTTTTTATATGCCTGTTGCTACTAAAATATCAATTTTGATTTTTTTAATCATAATTATTATTAGTATCATTGTTACAAAAACAACAACAACAAAATTACCTATGTAATTTAACTAATAATAAAATTATTGAAAAACAAACAAAAAATTATTTAGAAAATTTTAATTTTTATTAAAAAAAATTTATACATACGGTTTTATTTTTGTTTAATTAAAGTTCCAACACAATTATGGGTGAAATTTATATCAATAACTAATCAATAATTATAAATTTAATTTGTTTTTAAAAATATAAAATAATTTTCAATATTATAGTTATTACTGTATATAAATTACTAATGTATAACCACAATGACTTAATAAAATTGATTTTTTTAAAACAATTATAATTTAGTATATACTGTACTAAAAAAACAATACATTTACTCTACCATGATGATTTGTACAGTTTACTATTTACTTATTAAGTAATGTTATTATATTGCATATTACAACATTACATTAAATTAGCTAGTATATTTTCTTAGACAAAAAAAATTAATGTTAAGCAATATACTGTATTTATTAGTAATTAAATTTAAAGTAAAAATTTAATAAAACAAATAAATGTCTTTTTTTATAATGATAACAAAAAAATTATTAATTTACAATAAAGATGAAACAAAATTATCAGTAATGTTATACATAGTTATTAAATTATATTTAAGATGAATTATAGATTAATTTATTTTATTTTTTAAAATAAATGAAAAATAAATTAATAAACATTTTTGTTTATAAAATTAGCAACAATTTTCATAAAATAACATTTCAAAATAAAATTGTAATATAATTATAAATGGTTTAAAAAAATAAAATAAATAATATAAATATATTTAAAATTAATAAATACTTATATTAATACTGATATTAATGTTTATAATTAATTTTGTGATCTCAAAATCACAATCACTGGGATATTACATGTAAATGTAATGAGCGATATACTGTATATACTGTATGATATAGAGAGAGGGAGGAACGGTATGCAACAAAAAATATATACTGTATATATACTGTATATAATATTTTCCAATTAATCCCAGTTCTGACTAATACTGAGGTCGGGTGTGAAGCCATAATCGGTGGCAAACTTGTTCATCATTGTGCGTACCTCTTGCTGCAGCCACTCTGTCCGCCTGGACAGCTCCCAGTGCCTGACCTCTAGCCGTCCTAATTCAATGTTGAGCGCCAGTTCCCTATCTCTGGGTGTTCTGGTTCTACGGTTAGGATTTTCCACTGGTCGTCCTTTTTTCTTCTTGACTATCGGCGCTTGTGGCTGCTGTACGGGTATTTGTTGACGCGGCACCGGTAGTTCTGGTTGCCAATTATTATTATTATTACCTCCCGGAGCTGGCATGTGTTGTTGTCCAATGTTAACAATTGGTTGACTACTATTGTTGTTTGTTGGCATCAGTTGTGCGCTTAAATTATTAGTATTTTTTAGTAGTTTATTGTCATATTTATAGGACAATTGTTGACCAAAATTTGATTGCTGTTGACTAGTGCTGCTGATGGATGAAAGTGCTATACAATCGCATGTCAACGGTGGCGGCGGTTGTCTATAGTTTGACAGGTGTTGTCCAATAGTTAGTGGTGTTGACGGCTCCGGGATCTGTTGTCTGTTTGGATGATGAATGTCTGCTTCTAGATTGATGTCCTGGAACTGGCTATTCATTTGTATTAGCTTGCGATGATGTATCGGTGATGTCGCCGCCATTGATGATGACGGTGCTGATGCTGGCGCCGGTGCCGGTGCTGGCAATGGTAATGATAATTGTTTGCAGCAGTTATTATCATGTATTACATTATTGTTATTAATTAAGTTATTATTTTCTAGTTTTATGTAATTATTACAGCAATAAAATTTTTTGGTATTATTATTATTATCAATGGCGTTTTCTGTATAAAAAATATTATAATAAAAAATTATTATTATTATTATCTTATAATAATTGCATAATTTATAATATTATTTAGTAATTATAATTTTATTGCTAGTATTTATATAATAATAATAATATTATTATTAGAAAAATATATTATTAATTTCTATAATAAAATAAATTATTAGAAATTAATAATATAAATTATTTTTTTTAAAATTAGATAATTGATATGTAATATCAATCATAATTGCATTTATAATTGATTAGTATATCAAATAAATTACTAATGATAATTTATACTTAAAAAAATTATTATTTTTTATACCCATATTATTATTATCATTATTATCATTATCGGCGGTGTAATGATTCAAAAATTGTTGAGAGGATTGTATAAGATTTTGCTTAATCTGGTCGATCCTCGACTGTCTGTCCTCGAGACTGTCTGACATGTGGTGGTGATGATGATGTTGATGATGTTGATGATGTTGATGATGTTGATGATGATGATGGTCACCATTATCACCAATGGCGCCGGTGCTGGACATCGGTGGTGATGCCATAGACTGGCTATTAGTGGACTCGATGTCCATATTATTATTATTATTTGTATTTGTAGTATACATTGAAAACTTAATGATATTATCCCAGTCGTCATACATTGTTTCGCACAATTAGTTTGTTTTAACACTTTTTTATTATTATTATTAATTATTATCACTGATCCGGTTATACACTTTATATACTGTATGTATTTTTAATCAATTATTAGTATTATTATTATTTTTGGTGATACAAAATAGGATCTGCTGTCGCAAAAAAATGTTTATTTAATAATAACACAAATAATAATAATATTATAGTAAACTTTTATTTTTTATTATTAAAAGTTGTTGTTTAAATAGTTAGGGTTATTAGTAATACTGTATATAAATACTGTATAATTACTAAAAGTTTTATCGTATTATTATTATTATATATATATAATATTGAATATATATTTTGTTTGTCTAATGATATAAATTAATAGACATATTATATATATATATATATCATCAATGATGATGTCTATAGAGACAAATAAATTTCATACATTATATCATATAAATTATATGTGATTTTTTTCGAGATATAAACAGCAAAATAGTATTATTATTATTATTATTGTTGATTATTTTATTTTTCATAAATTTTATATATCATGTTATATATCATAGGATAAACAGGTATATATAAAATATATAACTTATATATATATATATATATTTAATTATAAACGACGTGTGATTTTTTAATTGTTATTATCAAAGTTGTTATGGTTAACTAAAAAATTTTATTATTAATAAAAAAATTAATTAATTATTATTATTGGTATATATGGTTATTATCAATTAGGCATATACCTTAACTTACCTATAGACTTTAGAGTACAGGTACTTTAAAATTAACAATAAAAATGTTAAGCTAAATGTTAATATTAAATTATATATATATATATATATTAGTACTATAACTTTTATAATTTATAATAGTAATATTAAACAATAATAATAAATATATTTATATATATAAATGGAAGATCACTATAATTTGCAAAATAAAAAAAAACCAATATAATTAAAATTTATTTATTGAAAAACAATTAAACTAGTTGTATATATTTTTTCTGGTAATTTTATTTATTTTTTTGGTTACATTTATTTATATATTAAATTTTATTGACAATTTTATATATTGCTAAAATAATATGTAATATTACTGTAATATTATTACAAATATCTATTAAATCTGCTATTTTATATCTAGTACATCTAGAGTATTTTTGTGTGACCCAAAAAAATTAACCAATATCATTTTATTTTGTTTTTACAAATTTCATTCAATGTGTTAATCATAATTAATGATTATTAATTATATTTAATATCATTATTTTTTTTATTCAATTTTATCTAGCTACTTTTCTTGGTATTGCATTTTATAAGTGTAATGTTATTATCATCCGACATTTTTATATAATATATATCATATATATATAGATATATATATATATAAATTTAGTTATAATTATTTAGCTTTTATATAGTATTTGATAATATTATTTATTTTTTGATAGATAAAACCTCTTTACATTACAATGATAAGTAAAGTCAATGGTATTTCTAAAACAAAATTAATAATAAAATAATTGATCATTTATATCTAATAGACTATCTATTTTGTAAAAAAATTATAGATTTAAAAAAAATAAATTATTTAATGTCATTCAATGTACAGCCACTACAGTATATATATATATATATATATATATATATATATATAATACAGTAAAGTTAATAAACAGATTATTTTAAAAAAAATAATTAAAATATTAACATTTATTATAACTATAATTTTATATAAAGTATATATATCATTGCTAATATACTGTATGATACTTTACTTTAATATATATATATATATATATATATTTAAAGTTATTTTTATTGTTGAGTTTCGTCAATGTAAATAAATTACATGTTTTAAACTATACAACTATTTAAACAATGTATTACAATAAACATGTTATGATTAATAAAATATAGATTATTATTATTATCAGTAAATTTTTTTAAAAAATAATTTAGATTAAAACTTGAGATATATTTTTGTTTTTTAACTTTTTAATTATTATAATAATTATAAATAAATCATCAACATAAATCAAAATTTTATACAACTTGATTACTTTACAATATATATACATGTAGATAAGTATTCATCAAATATATATAAAAATATATATATATTTTATATTTATCACAAAATTTTCCACTTTCACAATCTGAACAATAAAATTAAATATAATAACTTATAAATTTTGCTGATAATAATATACAGTATATATATTTTATAGTTTATAGAAAATATAACTATATTATATAGAAATTAAATATATATTTTTTGTTATTAGGGTTGTTTAAATTAAAAAAAATAAATAAATTTGTTAGTATTTTATTTTTTTAGAGCTATTTTCTGCTAAACTGTTTCCTACATTTTTAAAAATAATTAACTTACTGTATATTATAATGTATTACAGTATTATTATTACAGTGTATAATTATTTAACATTATTATTATTATCAAATAAAAATCAAATAATAAGTTAATATTATTAACTAATTAATGATTAAAATATAAACTAATTATTAAAAATTTTAATTATAAAGATACATTATTATTTAACAATAACATTTTTTAAAAATTTACTTAACTATTTATGTCTCTCAATACATAAATTAATTTTTTTACAGGTCCCAGGTAAAAATTTATAATAACTAAATACTGTACCAATCAATTCAATATCACATTATAATATAATGTGAGAAAATTAACACATTTATTTTATTAAAAAAATAGATAATACAGTATATTATACTGTACTTAATGCACTAATATTGTATTATGTTTAATTTAACTAAAAATATAATTAATTGCGAAAAATTGCATATAAATAAAAACTTGATACATACACACAATATATAATTAGTTCAAATTTTTTTCAATTAACTTAAAATGCAATCAATTTTATTATTAACGTTGCTATCAATAGCCGCAGCCGTGGTCACAGTTACCGCCTCAGCCGATGTTCTTGACTATAGTGACGACGATTACCGAGCGGTGGCCAAATCGCGTAACTTTACCGGTAAGGTTGTACTGGTGACCGGTTCGAGTTCGGGCATTGGCGAAGGTATTGTCAAACTATTTTCGGTTTTGGGCGCCCGTGTAGTGGTCACCGGTCGTAAAGAGGCCGACGTTCATCGTGTGGCTCAAGACTGTCAACGATTGTCACCTAATAAGCTTAAGGTACCAAAAAATAATTATTATTATTACTAACTGTATTGTTGTAAAAAGCCGTTGGAAGTGGTCGCCGATCTGACCAAAAGTACCGATTTGGCCACTTTGTTGGATCAAACAATCAAAACGTTTGGCAAACTGGACGTATTGGTCAACAATGCGGGCATATATCCAGCGACCACTATTGGTCAGACAAATCTACTACAAGTATGGGATCAGATATTCAATATTGATTTGAGAACCGTTGTTGAGCTTATCCATCTATCGGTTCCCTATCTGGAAAAAACTAACGGTACTGTAATTGACATATCCAGTATCGCAGCTACAGCACCGGTATCTATCAATATTATTTAGTTAATTATATACTGTATATATAGTTAGCTATATATTATATATGCTAAATAAAGATTATTATTAATATTATTAGCTATAATATAGATAATAATATAAATATATTTTTTTTGTTTGTCTTTAACACTACCAATAGATGATTGGCTCTCTGGCCTACAATTCAGCCAAAGCCGGCTTAGATATGTTGGCCCGAGTGTTGGCACTGGAGTTGGGACCCAAAGGCATACGTGTGAATTCATTAAAGTAATTAAAAAACAAACAAACAAAAAATAATTATCTAAACTAAAAAAACAAAATATAATAATAACTATATGTTTTGTTGGCTAAAAAACTATTTTTTGATTTTTTTTATTGATAGTCCCGGTCTCACAAAAGTTAGCGACTTTCCCGATGATATCATTGCAAAATATTCAAAGGCGACACCATTGAGACGTATAGGCGAACCGTTAGATATTGCCAAAGGTGTGGCATTTCTGGCCTCAACTGATGCCTCATTTATTACCGGCGCTAATCTGGTAATTGACGGAGGATTGGTCTACAATATCGGTGGATTTAACACACAATAATTTACAATTAAAAAAAATTAAAACATTAATATATTAAATTTTTGTTTTTGAATAAAACATTATTATTTTTATTTATTTTTTTTATCAAATTTTTTTGTTATACTAATTTTTGTTTTTAAACAATTAATAAGTCATAATAATTATATTATATAAATAAGACATCAGCAATAAATAATATATTAATTAATTATATTTAATTTAATTTAAAATTATATTTTATCATTATAATTTCACATTTTTTTTAATAGTTATACCTAAAACATGTGATTATTTTTTCCAAAATATATGATTTAATAATAAGATTAATAAAATAAAATTTCTATATTTTTATAGTAGAAAAATCTATGGTAATAATATTACTGTATTATTATATTAGCAAAAATATAAATTAATAATAACTATCATCTGGGAAAATTAACACATTTTTAAATAATAGATTTATTATACTTAATGAACCAATATCAATTTAATGAACAATTAAATAAAATTAATCACAAAATAAAATATAATCTTAAACAGAAAATAAATTAACTTAAAAAATACAAAATTTTCTAATTGGTTTCTAATTTATTTTTTTCATTTATTTAATATTGTATTATTAGTATATATATATATATAAAACAAATTAAAATGCAATCAATTTTATTATTATCGATAGCCGTAGCCATAGATGCGTACTAAAGATCAAATAATAAGTTAATATTATTAACTAATTAATGATTAAAATATAAACAATATATAAACTAATTATTAAAAATTTTAAAAATATTAAATACATTATTATTTAACAATAACATTTTTAACAATTTATGTCTCTCAATATTAATTAATTATTTTTAAAGGTCCAAGGTAAAAATTTATAATAATTAAACACCAATACCAATATAATATAATGTGAGAAAATTAACAAATTTATTTTATAAAAAAAAGATAATACAGTAAATCATATTGTACTTAATGTACTAAAATATAATTAATTGCATATAAATAAAAAATTGATACATACACACAATATATAATTAGTTCAATTCACTTTATTTTATTCAATTAATTTTATCAATTAACTTAAAATGCAATCAATTTTATTAATAACGTTACTATCAATAGCCGCAGCCGTGGTCACAGTTACCGCCTCAGCCGATGACTATGTTTTTGACTATAGTGACGATGACTACCGTTCGGTGGCCAACTCGCGTAACTTTACCGATAAGGTTGTACTGGTGACCGGTTCGAGTTCTGGCATCGGTGAGGGTATTGTCAAACTATTTTCGGTTTTGGGCGCCCGCGTAGTGGTCACCGGCCGTAAAGAGGCCGACATTCATCGTGTGGCTCAAGACTGTCAACGATTGTCACCCAATAAACTTAAGGTAACAATAAAATTATTATCGAAATAAATATCATTATTAATAACTAATCAGTATTGCTATAAAAAATAGCCGTTAGAAGTGGTCGCCGATCTGACCAAAAGTGCCGATTTGAGCACATTGTTGAACGAAACAATCAAAACGTTTGGCAAACTGGACGTATTGGTCAACAATGCGGGCATATATCCAGCGACCACTATTGATCAGACAAATTTACTACAACTATGGGATCAGATCTTCAATATTGATTTGAGAGCCGTTGTCGAGCTTATCCATCTGGCCGTTCCCTATCTGGAAAAAACTAACGGCACCGTAATCGACATATCCAGTATTTCATCTCTGGCACCGGTATGTATCGGTTTTTATAAATATTATATATACAATAGTTAGTTATTTATTTATAATTTTGATGTTTTTTTTATTAATAACAGATGATTGATAAGTTGGCCTACAATTCAGTCAAATCCAGCTTAGATATGTTGGCCCGAGTGCTGGCACTGGAGTTGGGACCCAAAGGCATACGTGTGAATACATTAAAGTAAATAATTTAAAAAAAATAAGTGATATATAAATTTAATTGACTCTTAATGTCTGACATTATTGATTATATCATATTATAATTATGTATTTCAATAGTCCCGGTGCTGTAAATGTAAAATCATATACCAGTGATCTAAGCAACGATTACATTAAGGCAACACCATTGAGACGTATTGGCCTACCCTTAGATATTGCCAAAGGTGTGGCATTTCTGGCCTCAACTGATGCCTCATTTATTACCGGCGCTAATCTGGTGGTCGACGGAGGACTGGTCTACAATATCGGCGGATTTAACATAAAATAATAACAATAATAATAAACAGTTTAGTCTAAAAGATAGTAGTTATTTAGACTCAAATAAATTGTATAAAAAATAATTTTAAAAATATTTAAATTCAATTTTAGCCTAAACTTTCAACTAAATCATCGACATAAATTATTTGTTATTATTATTATATTTAATTATTCATAACTTTTCATAAGTTTTCATAAATAAAATAAAAAATTTTAACACACAAAACATATACCCACTTTCATAATGTTTAATAATAAGCTATAATAATAAGTATATAATTTTTTATCAAATACTTAGTTATTTATTTGATAATAATTTATAATAGAAATTACTGTAATTATGTATACAGTAAAATATATTTTTTTTTATTAGAGTTGTTAATTATTTTTTATTATTATTATATATTGGCAAAAAATAATGTTAATTTTGAAAATTTTGAAAATTTTGAAAATTAAAATTTAATTAATTATACAGTATTTTTGTTTTAATAATAATATTTGGGAATTTTTTTTATAGTATTTATATCTTTAATATTAATTTATTTTTGCTATAATTTTGACTAATTTTTGACAAATATATAACAAATACCTTATAATTTACAACAACTGTTTGCCAATTAATTTAATATCACAATATAATATGAGAAAATTAACACATTTTTTGAGAAAAAAATAGATAACATAAAATTCGATATCTTTTTTTATGTTGATTGAATTGAAATAAAATTAATACTTAAAAAATCATATAAATTAACTTCAATAATACAAAATTTTATAATTAGTTTATTTTTTTGTTATTTACTATTATAATATATATTATTTTTTTTAAAAAATTAAATTAAAATGAAATCAATATTATTATTAGCTTTGCTATCGATAGCCGCCGCCGCCGTCGCTGCCGATGACTATGTTTTTGACTACAGTGACGATGACTACCGTGCGGTGGCCAACTCACGTAACTTTACCGGTAAGGTTGTACTGGTGACCGGTTCGAGTTCGGGCATTGGCGAAGGTATTGTCAAACTATTTTCGGTTTTGGGCGCCCGCGTAGTGGTCACCGGCCGTAAAGAGGCCGACGTTCATCGTGTGGCTCAAGAATGTCAACGATTGTCACCCAATAAGCTAAAGGTTAGCCAATTATTTTATTTTTAGACAATAATTTTATAAATAAAAATTACTGTAAATTTGGTTTATTGTTATTGAAAGCCATTGGAAGTGGTCGCCGATCTGACCAAAAGCGCCGATTTGGCCACTTTGTTGAACCAAACAATCAAAACGTTTGGCAAACTGGACGTATTGGTCAACAATGCGGGCATATATCCAGCAACCTTTATTGATCAAAAAAATTTGCTACAAGTATGGGATCAGATATTCAATATTGATTTGAGAACCGTTGTCGAGCTTATCCATCTGGCCGTTCCCTATCTGGAAAAAACTAACGGTACAGTAATAGACATATCCAGTATCGCAGCTACAGCACCGGTATGTATTTTAAACTAGTGTATAGTTTAATACTTTATGTATGATTATTTATGTTTGTTTTTTTTGAACAAAAAAAACTACAGATGCTCGGCTCTCTGGCCTACAATTCAGCCAAAGCCGGCTTAGATATGTTGGCCCGAGTGTTGGCACTGGAGTTGGGACCCAAAGGCATACGGGTTAACTCATTAAAGTAAATAGAAAACTATTTTTTTTGAAAAAAATGTATTTCCAATAAAATTGTAAGAAACTTATATAAATTGTGTTTACAATAGTCCCGGTGCCACACGGGTTCAATCGTGGACCGATATTCCCGATAGTATTATTAAGGCAACACCATTGAAACGTATTGGCGAACCGCTAGATATGGCCAAAGGTGTGGCCTTTTTGGCCTCAACTGATGCCTCATTTATTACCGGCGCTAATCTGGTGGTCGACGGTGGACTGGTCTACAATATCGGTGGACTTAACACACAAAAAATGAATTATTAATATATTTATAATTATTTATTTGTAATATTTATATTATAGATAAAAATTTAAATACAACAACAATTTCACAAAAATGTTTATAATTACTAATAAATACTGTTATATATTAAATACCAAATAATAATCTAAGTTTCAAATATATATATATATATATATATATAATTTATATATTAACATATTTATCAAATAAAATTTATTTCTGATTGAAATAATTTTTTTTAACAAAAATATTTTATCAATAATTTTTATGACGGGAATTATGATTGACTTAAAATATATATTTTTTAATTGATTTTGTTGTTAAAAATTATTGTTTTAGTTATTAGTATATTTTAACTATTAGTAAAAAATCATATTGAAATAAAAATATGTAAAAATATTTATTGTATAATTGTTTTGGTTAAACAAAAAATATTTTTTTTCACACTAATTAGGTGTTAATTTATAGTATACATATGTAACATAAATGTGTTATATAATACAAAATGATAATAATAATTGTCATTTAAAAAAAAACAAATGATCCTTAAAACCAATTTGTAAAATATTTGTTAATTATTATCAATTATATTAGTAATTAGTAGTAATAAAAATAATAATAAATTCAGTTATCATTGATTACTAACTTTTACCAAAAAAAAAAATGATAAGCATTTCCCAAACCTTGAACTCTTAGAAAAATAAAATATTTATGATTTAACTGATAATAAATCTGTATTTTAAACAATATTTTTGTGTTTTTTATTTTTCCATATAAATAGTTTGATTTTTTTTTGTTTTTTGTTATATCAGTTCATTTGGAAACAAATATTTCAATAATAATAATCTTAATAATAATAAAAAAAATTGTTTTTGTTTTATTAAAATACAAACAAACAAACAAAATGAATTCAATTATCATTTTTATTGCATTATTTGCCGCCTTTTGTGCCATTAGTTTGCCATCAGTTTGTGGTCAAAGTTTTGGCGGCGGCGTCGGCGGCAACGGTCGTGGCGGCGGTAATGGATATAACGGTGGCTATGGAGGACTGGGACATGGATCTCATGGTCATCCAGGTTAGTTTCTATTAATTTCTATAATACTAATACTAATAATATTTTATTAAAAAAAATCAATTTTATTAATATGATCTAATTTTATTAAAATAAAAACTATTATATCCATAATAGTTCACAGAAAATGGAGTTATTCCTCTCATATAAAGCACCCTGCTCATCATCAGCATCAGCATAATGGACAGCATGGAGGTCATGGAGGTTATAATAATGGACATGGAGGCAACAGTAACACCTATCATTACGGTCAGCAAGGTCATGGCGGCAATCGGGGTTTAGGTGGCGGTCTGGGAGGTTATCTGGGAGGTGGTGGAGGAGGAGGTGCTGGCAATTGGTTTTAATAAGCAATACAACTATTGGGATGTACCGATTAAATATGATATATATATATTGATTAGGTTAGGATGGGCTAAATTATAATTAATTATTATACAATACTCAACTAAATGTTAATTTTTAAAAATGTTTTATTGTTGTTGTTATATCATTGTGTCTATTGTCTGAAATTGTTTGAAAAGTGTTAAATTATAATTTATTTTCATTATATATCATATATATTATATCATATATATTTTGTCAATTTTTAAAAATTTTCAATAAATGTGTTTGTTAATAAACTTTTTATTAACATTTTTATTATTATTAAATTAAATATATATATATATATATATTATAAAGTTTATAATATAAACTTACCAATGGTTATCATCAATATTTCTTTTAGTAATATTTTTTTAGTAATATTTTTTTAGTAATATTTTTTTAGTAATATTTTTTTGATACAATTTTGATTGTTTTGAACTTTTTTAAAATTTAATTTTATAGCAAATATTAATAATAATAATATTTTAATAATAATAATAATTGAGAAAATATTAATATTGTTATAAAGAAAACGTGTTTTAAAAATATGTAAAAAATGTAAATTAAGTTAATCAATTTAATAAATATATTTTTTTAATAAAATAATAATACTATTACCTTAAAAAATTTATTTACAATTACTAATAATTTTGTAAACATTATTAAATAAATTAAATAAATAACTCGTTTTTCTTAAATAAATAAATATGAAACTTTTATTTTAGATATACAGAAATAAATTACATAATTGTTAGTATTTTAATCTATATATATATTTATATATATTATTTGTAATTTTTTTGTGTGTGTGTGTACAGTAAATATCAAATTATTTTTATTTAGGAAAAGTTTTTTAGTATAAATCATAAATATTTTTGTATAATTAAAAAAAATAATTTTATAATAATTTCAAAATTATTTCAATAAACTCTATTTGTATTGAAATTATATAGTTTTTTTCAATAAATTAATTATTAAAAAATAATTATTAATTATATCCAATTGATATGTTTTTTTAATAATAAAAATTAATTACTGATACGGTATAAAATTGCTTAATTCAGTTGGCATTGTTAACTGTAGAAAACTATTTGGAAATTCACTGCAAAAATTGCAAACAAACAAAAAACATAAATAAAATTATTAATTAAAAAATAATATATATTTTTTTAAAAAATCATTACTTTGTAAGAAAGTCGAGTCCCATTAAACTGCCCAACTCTGGATCATATGGCTGACCACCGTATGCCTGTCCTCCATGATGTTGTACACCAGCACCACCAACACCACGGCCTCCCTGTCCACGACTACGTAGCGGCTGATCGCCATAATTATGATTCGGATGTCGTTGTTCAGCCGAGGCTAACATACGGTGTCCACCACTGGCTGCACCGTTATTACCGCCGTAACCACCACCAACACCACCTATACTATAGTCAGGCGCACTGGCCAAACCCGGGTAGCCTCGGCTAAACGGCATATGACCACCACCACCGAAACTATTGTACTGTCCAAATGCTGGCCAAACCGGTGCAAACATTTGGCCACCGAACTGACCACTATTACCACCGCCATGTCCTACTTTATTATATCCCAGACCACCATTTTTTATGCTATGCGACACATATTTGCGATGCTTGTGGTGGTTATGTTTGGGCACCGGATGTTTGATATATGATGTATAACCCCATTTCCGGCCAACTAATATTTTAAAGTTATTTATTAATTTAAAATACAATAATAATAATAATAATAATAATAATAAAAACTCATTTTAAATACCTGGATATCCATAAAATCCATGTCCACCGCCGTGTCCTTTACCATACCGGTGCTTATAAGATGATTGACACGATATCACAGTAAACAATGTAATTAATAAACATATTATCACAAAATACTTTTGATTCATTGTTGAGATATCAAGTAATTGCCATAAATTTAATAATAATAATATATATATATAATATTATTTAGTTAGAAATATATTATTTTAAATATAAAAAGTAATTTTTATTATTTTTTTATACAAAAGATAAATAATATTAAATAAAGTTATTTTTTGGTTAAAAAAAAGCAAAACTGTATGTTTGGACACACAATTATCATATGATTTTAAATATATTAAATATTATAAATTTAGATAACTTTTTGACATTTTTTCAACAAAAAAAACAAAAGTATAGCATTTATGATATTTATTTCAAAATAATTGTTTATTTAAACTCAAATTATACTAAATATTATGACATATTTTATATAAAAAAAACTAATGACATAATCATAAAGAAATTATTTTACTTTTTATTATGTTATTATCATTTTGACTCTTTAAACAGCAAAAAAATTGTTTATTAAATATGTTTTTTTAATATATTAATATATTTGCAGAAAAAAATATTTATATTTATAGGAAAATATTTTGAAACTATTTTACACAACAAAAAAAATACAATTGCTTTTACTTGTGGTTATACTTCAAGGACCACATAATACTACAAGTGATAACTAAATAAACATATATATTATTATTATTATTAAAAAATAATAATATTTAATTTAAACTATAGTCTGTATTGTTATATAATTAGCTAATTGAGTAAAAATATTTATATAAAAATAAATATATATATTTAAAAATAATAATAATAACACTGTTTTTTATACTAACGACAAGTTTTGGTAGCTTATAGTCTGATAATAACATTGATTAGTGTTTTTATTTTATTTTTTTGTTTCCTAACATTTCCTAATAAATAAATAAATAATATATATATTTTTAAAAATCATAAATTAGATAATTAATTAGATTTAATTACTTAATTTACAATAAAAAATAATACTAATTATTATCATTTAATATAATCATAAATATACTGTATGTTATTAATTAATAATTGAAGCTTATATTATAATATAAACTTTATTTTTTTTAAATTATTTCATTAAATCTAAAACACTGTACTATAAAATCATATGTTATTAAATAATGAAATTTTTTTAAAAACACATTTTTATATACTATTTAATGTTAAATATTGTTTTTAATCAAGTGGTCAATTATTAAATATTCAAAATATGCTAAATTATTGTGCATATTATTAAAAAAAATATATAATAGTATTGCATAATTGAAAAGTGTTATAATTTTTTTAAAATTACAATAATTATCTCTAATAAACTTTTTTATTTATTTTTTTGTTTGTATGAAAAAAACTGTTAAATATTTTATTAGTAGAAAAAATTTATCAATAAAATAGTATGAATAACAACCAAACACACATAAAAAACCAACGGTGCATAAAACCAATTAGGGCTAACCAAAAGTTAAAGTCAAACATGTTTTTTTAATTGTAATTATTATTATTTTTTTTATTATTAGTTAGTTTTAAAATAAAAAATATTTTTAGTCAATATGCTATACGTTTTTTTTATTTTGAAAATAAAAAATAAAAATTTAAAATAAAAAATATCTATTACGTCAAAATTGTCATAAAAATTTATTGTCTAATTATGAAAAAAAAAATTATTTTTAGCACAAATATAATATATATATATATACTATAAGTTACTGATAGTATAGTATATGTTATTATTTAAATACAATAATAATAATGAAAATAAATCATTAATTAAATTATTAATTTATAGTTTATTTTTGTTGTGTGTGTGTATCTATTAATATAAATTTATAACGACATTAATAGTCATACAAATATATATATTTTTATATAAATTATAACTGAAATTATAATCATTACATTTTGTATAAACTATTACACAGATGCTTAAGTTCTGGTAATTTAATTCAAAAAAAATATATATATATTATAATATTAAGTTAATGATATTCAAACATAATTTATATCGATATATAAAAAAAAGTAAATTAAATATAAAAATTTATTACTTGTATATTTACTTTATTAAATTATTATTGCATACACTAAATAAACGATAATTCAATAATTATTTATATAATAATATATATATATACATATAATAAAGCCTTAAAAGATACTAATAATAGTTAAATTTCTAACAAAAATTAAATGTCAACTGTATTTAAATTGATACTTATGTTATATTATTATTATTATTATAACCGTATTTTTAAAATAAGCAATAATCATAATCATAATCATAATAATATACGTTATTACAATATGAATGTATTTTTTTAGTAATATACTAGAGTAGTATTGAAATAATTTAAATCATATGATATAAAAGTTATTTATATTATTAGAAAAAAATTGTAGTGTATTTTCAAGATTAAGTTCACTATAAATTATTATTCAATATATATATATATGTCTAACAATTAGGTTATAAATAAAACTGATAATAAAATATTTTGACTATATATTTTTAAAGATTTTTTTACTAATGAAAAAAATAGTATTAAAAATTTACTATTTAGTATACAGTATATAAACAAACAAACAAACAAAAACAACTTTATAATTTATTTAATCATTTTAATGTTTTAAAATTTTTTTTTAACATTAAGTTAAATTAATAAAATAAATGTATAATAACATCAACAAACATATTTTAATTGCAATATAAAATAGTATTTCAATTAAGTATCAATAAATAGTAATAATACTGTTATTTTTTATTTGTAATTTGATATGTTTTAATTAACTTTGTAACTTGTTAAAGTAACTAATAACATAGTTACAAATTAACAAACTAACAAAATTGAAATTAATATATATATATATATATATATAAAAATATATAAAATTAAAAAAATTAATTTATATAAAAATTAATATATATAAAATTAAAATATATAAAATTGATATATAAAAAATATAATAAAAATGTTAATAACTAATACAATTAATAATAATAGTAATAATAATAATGATATTAATAATGATATTAATAATTATAATAATAATAATAATAATAGTGGTGACCTAGAACAGTTAGACCCGAATCGGCTGTATGTGCCCCGTGTGTCGGCCACTATGATTAGTCCGCGCGTATCGACCACATCGTCGTCATCCTGGTTATCGGCCAAATCATCGGACGACCCGCTGGTCCGTATGGCCGAACGTATCGAGTTTGGCCTGGCCTGGCTGCACTTGACCTATTCACCGAAACCGCCAGTCGCCACTACCGCTGCTGGCCGTAACCGAAAGACAATTTTGCGGGACATTAGTGGCCAGATTAAGTTCGGCGAAATTATGGCACTCATGGGTCCCAGTGGTTGCGGTATTTAATTTGAATGCATAGGTGTTATAATAGTGATAATAATTGTTTTATTTTTTGTTTTATCGATTAGGAAAGTCAACTCTGTTGCGATGTATCAATGGCCGCATCGGCGACGGTATAGACAACGATACGGATATGTATGTCACGACTCATCGGCCGATTCAGTCGTGTTTTATAGTACAGGACCAGAAGGAACACCTGCTAATGAATCTGACGGCCCGTGAGTCGATGCGTTACGCGGCGGCCATCAAATATTACCGATCAGATGACGACGACGACAACGAGTCAACCAATTCATCGATGCTGAGCAAACCCGACGACAACAGTCGCGACAACAACATTGACAAACTGTTGGCCGATCTGACGCTTGACGACTGCGCCGATACACTGATCGCTGACTGCAGCGGTGGCCAACAAAAACGTATTGTGATTGCACAGGAACTGGTCGGCGATGTCAAACCTAATATTATGTGTATCGATGAGCCGACCTCTGGTCTGGACAGTAATGCCGCCGAACAGGTAGTAGTAGTAGTGTTTGTGTGTCGATGTCTATCATAACACTCGGCGGTAATGATATCTGACATCTGGTCATCTATTTTCAGGTAATCGATTGTCTGCGTAACGTAAGCCGCGACCACTCCATAGGCATCATAACAACCATACATCAGCCCAACAGCGACATACTCTACATGTTTGACACACTGTACGTACTGTCCAATGGTGGCCACAATATCTATAACGGAAAACCTGACCGAATACGTCAGACATTGCTAGCGGCAAACATCGAGGTTACCGATAAACAGGTGCCCATCGAAGTCCTGATCAAAGTGGCCTCAAAAGCGGCCGCCAAACTAACCGGTGATCTAAAGTCGTCGACGTCTAATGATTACTATGAAGTGTGCGACGAGATTAAGTTGTTGGCCAACCAGTGTCGCCAATCGGTCGACAAACTTCGTAACCGGTGTCTGACCTATGGTCGACTTTGTCCGCCGAAACAGATTAACATCGAATCGGTTGGCTTTACTGTCCATAAGTTTTGGTGTCTAATCCAGAGGACAGTCAAATGCAATATATTTCGTGGCTATAAATCACTGATGTTTATCACAATCTTTGAACTAATGTCAGGTAATAATAATAATAATAATACACTTTAAAATCATATATCATATGTTTTGTTAGTTTCATTGAATGATTGTATTGATTGAAACACTGTATATATATATATATACAGTATTTACAGAATATTATGTATAAATCTATATAATCTAATCTATTTGTATGATTAGTTGTGTGACTAAAATACTTTTTTTAAAATATATTAATTATTAATACAACACTTATTATTAATAAATATATTTGGAAATATTGTCTCTGAATGTTTAACACACACAGGAATATTCTAATATAGAAAATTAATGGAAATTTTCTCTCTCTTTCTCTCAACCCCTCCCTACCCTATCAACCCATCGAATAGGCCTATCGATGACCATGTTGTTTGGCCGAACCGGTATCGACGACGGCTGTATGCCCTACGATCCGGATGTAATGCCTGACCAACAACAACAACAACAACAACAAAATATCAGTTGTGTACCCGTAAGTCGGATGAGGACCGGTAGTACCGGTAGCTCCGGTATCAAAGATCCAGAATTTGTACAGAATTTCAAATTCCTATTCTTCTGTCTACTGATGCATAACTTTTTGCAATTGTGTTATACAATACTGACGTTTCCTATGGAAGTGAAGATCTTTTTCAACGAACAACAAAATCGTTGGTATTCTTCCGGTGCCTACTATTGGGCGAAGACTATTGTCGACGCCATCGTTGGCATTGCCATTACCATCGGCTTCTGTCTAATTACATACACAATGACTGCACAGATTGGTTACATATATGAGCGACGTTTTTGTAAGTATTTTTGTTTGTTTGTTGTATTAATTATAAACAGATATTTATACTTAAAAATAATTTCAATCACATAATTAGTATTTAATATTATTAGTTATCTTTGAGTTATCTTTAAAACAAAGTGAATATATATATATTAATTTAATTGTTTTTTTCTAATTATAAATTACTATACATTATGTTTAATTACTTTACTGTATTTCCAAAAAAAAATAAAATTCAAAATTGAGTATTATTTTTGTTAGAAAATTTCCTGGGAAACTTTACAACTGATGAATTAGTAGTTTAACTAAATTTAGTTATTTTTAGTTTTAATTTATTTATATCATTAATATCATTGAAATCATTTATATAATCTATTTTTTAATGATTATAATTACAGTACAGTTGTTTACAAGTGTTTGTGATTTTGATTAAAAAAAATATGATATAATTATTTTTTTTAAAAAAAAATAGTGTATTACACAACAATAATGGCATTGTCGACACTGTGCGCTCAGGGCATGTCCTATACGTTCAGCATAATAGCCAACAAAAGTCTGAGGGCAACCCTAATCATCGGTATCGGCGGTAATCTTGTTAACACATTATTCAGTGGTTTCCTATTACCGGTCAATGATATGAATAAAATAATGCAATACATAGCCAACATATCCTATGTTAAGGCAGCTTTCGAGGCACAGTTGTATGCCGTATACGGTTGGGACAGGTGTGACCCGATTGGCGACCAACGTTGGTCAAGTGTATTGTATCGGATGCAGATCCGTGGGGATGTCGACTTTTATCGTAACCTTAAACTATTGATAGGACAGACACTTATTTGGAGATTATTGGCATTGATTTGTTTGATTGTCAAGACTAACGATCTGAAAGTGTTTAGTTTTCTAACAAATGTCAGCACAGGTAGTAGTAGTAGTAGTAGTAGTAGTAGTAGTCGAGTAAAAGTGTTTAACATTAATCAACGTTTAGTTAAATACAACAACAATAATAAAGAGGATTCAATTGTTTAGCACAAATGAAATAAGTTTTTATAAGTAGTATTTGTAAAAAAATTTTTTTTGTTAATTGTAATAATAATATAGTTATTTAATTAAATATTAAAATTCATAAATATTTTATTGGCTTATTATTACTTAATTAAAAATAATAAATATTTTTATAATTTATTTATTACTGTATTTTATTTTTATTATAAAAAAAATGTTATCATTAGTATTTTAAGTATATAATTAGTTAATTTTGTTTATTATGCCCAATAGGTGTACAACTATAAATACATTAACATTATTATACTGTATAATATTTTAATATTAAATTAAATTTATTTTTATTAATAGTACTTATAATTAAATTTAAATTAAATTTATGATTTGACGGATCACTTATAATAATTTTTAAAAAAAATATATTTATATATATATGTATATATATATATATCATATGTAGTCAAAATGTTTTACTAATTTAAAAACTTATAGTTTTTATTACAAATTTAATTAGTTTTAATTATTTATTTAACTAATATTAATATAATATACAGTTAACAAAAATTATAGTTTTACTATTATTTATAAATTAAATTAAATTTTATTTTTATTTAAATCTAAAAAACTTAATATTTAATATATTATTATTATTATTATTACTACTACTGTGGTTTACGTCGGGCTTTTCGCATTAGTCCCGACAGTCCCGACTGCGACTCACGCAGCGGACAAAGAAAGTGGTCACCAATTTTCCGATTGGTGTGTCCTTCGGCTCCGCAATGGCTGCACTTTCGGCGTCCGTAGTGAGCAGTATTGGCAAATCGGATGTCAGCGCACAGGGCTTTCCACGTACTGTTGAACACGTCGTACGACACGTGCGCCGATCGCGGATGTCGGCGCTGAAACTCTGTGTACACTGTTTTGACATTACAATCGGCCGGCAGTATCAGTATTCCCGGCGGTGATGGGACTGTCATCGACTGCTCATCGATAGTACCGGTGGTGGTGTTGCTGACGGCGTGCCGTTTGGCGTAACTTTTGATAAACTCGGCGACCGATTGGCGATCGTTTTTGCTATCGAAACCGATTAGCTGGCAATGCCGGCGCCAGACATTGCGAAACGCTTCGTAACTGATCGCCCGGTGCTGACCACTGGCCGCAAACACACGATATACCGATTTTATCGATTGCGTGGCCGGCAATAACCAGCGATCCGATTGACGGGCGTCAGGATTGCGGGCATTTTGTTTGGCATAACCGACAATATAGTCGGCAATTGATTTACGTTCTTCCGTATTGATGGCCCGATTGTTCACTGGATTCACTTTATTCTGGTGTTCTCGAGGTTCAACACCGTACCGATGATAACGTTTCTTCAGGTATGTCCACTTGGGTTTAGTAATGCCGTGAACATAGAGAAACAATGATTTACAAACTGGTCGTCCGCGCCATAAAAATCTAACCGTCGACTTCTGACGTCGTTTGTGGCGTTGCGGTAATTTTCCCGCTGATTGCTGGCCACCACCGCCAACAACGACAACATTACGCGAGTTGTCAATCAGTACTGACCTAATGGATTGGATAATTAGGAGATAAAGTTTATATATATAAGTTTTATTATAATTTATTAGCTACCGGTGCTGAGGTGTATGGGTGTCTATGTGTGTGTCTGTGTATGGGTGTCTGTGTGGGTGTCTGTGTCTGTGTCTGTGTGGGTGTCTGTGTCTGTGTGGGTGTCTGTGTGGGTGTCTGTGTCTGTGTGGGTGTCTATGTGTGTGTGTGTGTGTGTGTCTGTGTGTGTGTGTCTATGTGGGTGTGTGTGTGTTAATCACTCATACATTTATCACTTACATGATAGCTATGATACGTTCGTTCAATAGATTATAGCAGTAGTGGTCGTCCCAGTAGTCACAGCTCTGGCAGTCCAGCCGATGGTCAGCAATGTCTGGGCCGTCAAACTGCCGACAACATGGCTGGCCGTCGGGTCCGAAACGGCAGTCGCATTGAAATCTACTATCGCTGTCGTTGGCGTCGGCTTCGTTGCCGACAGCGGTGGTAGTGGTGGCGATGGCGATGGTCACCGATATCTGAGTTTTGTTAGTGTCGGCAGTGGCTGCGGTAGTCATATCGGTTGCCAACAAGTGATCGACACTTATCGGTTGTCTATCGCTGGACATCGGGTTTTTAACAACCAATTAATTGATTGATTGATTGATTGAATAAAAAACTATTAACTAATGTCTGATATATTTTAAATGGTATTAAACCTATTGATGACAAAATATTTTTACTAAATTATTATATATTATAATTAAATTGCATTTTTGTCTCTCTCTCTCTCTCTCTCTCTTAAAATTAATTATGATTTACATATTAATTAATTAATTAATTAAATTATAAATAATATATATTAACAAACAAACAAAAAAAAGTTTTATTAATATCATATATTAATATACAGTATATCGTAAGTGTTATGCCATAGTGTATAGCATTTTATGGCAATCAATGCCTACATTAATGTACACTAATTGTAATAAAATGGTTACTGTATGTCACATATTACGTGTGTTTGTATGTGTTTGCATCACTGTATTATAATACAAGCCAATCATATTTGTGTTTTTATTTTTATTTATATACAGTATATATTTAATACATAAAACTAAAATGTACATGTATAAATTACTTAGATTTTTATTTAAAGTGGCGCCAAATTTATATATTTTATATGATTAATAGATAGATTATGATAGTATATACAATTAATAGACAATTTAGAGATTAATTGTTAATCTATTAGTTAATCTATTATATATATATATATAATCTAATACTTAATCATAATAGTTATCATATCGTATATAATTGATTTAATTGAACAAAACAAAAAAGTTATTTAATTTAAAAGTTACTAAAACTGTTGTTTTTTTAAAAATTAACACTTTAATAGACAAATACTAATTATCGTAATTTTTTTCATTATTAATATTAATAATTATTATTTTTAAATATATAATTTAATTATCTTTATTATTATATTCAACTATTCAACGAAATTATTATATCCAAATAATTTTCCTAAATGTTAAATTAAAAAAAAAATATTAGTATAATTATTGATTATGACAGCAAAAAAACAATTTTCAATTATTTGATTATTTAATGATAATAATAAAAAATAAAACAAACAAACAAAATCTGAAACAAATTGTTTATTATTAAAATAAATAAATATTATTTTTGTAGAGTTTTAGTACTAATTAATAAAGAAAAAAATGTTTTCTTCAAATACATGCATAATAATGAAAATTTAATTTATATATATACAGTTTATATATAATTGATCTAGATAAATTTATTAGACTTACTAATATTGATAATTTTTTATAAAATCATATATTATAAATAATCATAAAATTAATTTTTAAAATAAGTAATTGTCCTTGATAATTATTATTATAATGGTTGGATCATATGAAAAAATTAAAATTGATTTTACAAAAACAACAATTTTTACTGTATTATAATGAGATCATTTTTGTTTTTAATTAAAACACAATATATATAGACTGAAAACTTTTAAATTATATTTATTTATTTAGTTGGAAAAAATAGTTTTAAATTTTTTTTTTAAATAAATATTTCCATAAATTTATTATATCTAATATTTTATATTTCCTGTTATCGGAAATAATAAACTGATTCTTATATATCAAAAAATCATTATTTTTAGAAAAAATTTTAATTTGTTTTTTTTAAAAAAAGTAATTCAAGTAAAGTAATTGTCAGAAAATGTTTATATAATTTTTTTTTTTTTTGAAAATTTTAAACTTTAGACTTTTAAAATAATAGGATATATAATAAAAAATGATGACATTTGATAATTTTAATGTCTATTATTGGATAACAGGAAAATACAGTTTTATATAATACAAACATTATTATATATATTTATTTATATAAACAAAATTTAACTCATCATAAAATTTTAATAAAACTAATTATATTTAAAATATATATTTATTTTTATTTTTTTTGTTATTTGACTAATTTATATAACAATTATTGTTGTTGAATACATTGTATCTTCTAATTATATAAATATATATTTATAATATTTATTATATAATTATAATATATAATAATAAAATATTTTCTCATTTTTATTGTACTATCCCTAAAATATATAAATATTTTTTATAATTTTATAAATATATTTTTTTCGGTACTATATTTATACTTGTATATTTATGGACAAATATTTAAATTGATATTGTTACTTTTTAAAATAATAATAATTTAACATTTTATTTTATTTAATACAAATAATTTACGCTATGTTAATAATAGTAATATATAAATAAATAAATAAAAAATAATTTATTTTATTTATACAAATGTTGGGTATTATACAAATTAGCTTTAATAATGTTATGCAATGTTGTATAAATTATGTCATATAAATTTTTTTTGATAAATTAAAATACGATGTATTTATGTATTTATCATCACTTTAGTTGTTATACTTGTTTTATATATATAATATAATATATTATTATTGTTATTATTATCAATTGCACAATTAATTTCGACATAATACAGTATAAATTTTTTTTATATAATTAACAATAGTTATTTATGCATGATTATTTTATCTAGTATTTTATATATTATTAGTTTTGTAACAATTAATTTATAGATATTATTTTTATCATATAAATTATATATATATATATGATTTATAATATATATATACAGTATTTCTGTATATAATTTATAAATATATGTTCAGATTATAATATCGCATAAGTTAGTAATTAATATATATTTTTAGTGCATTTACTGTATATATAGTATATATATATATATAACTTATATATATATTTCTGAATAATCTAAATAAAAGTTTTGGCACACTTTCAAGGACTGGCACCTGAGAGACACAAACAAAACACACAAAAAAATTAAATAAATAAAATTGTATGACATTTATTGTATGATATTTTTTTAAACAAAACAAAAATCTACTCTAAAATACCTCCCTGTGCTTGGCTAAGATAGCTTTTAATAATAATAATAATAATTGTTGATGATGATGATGATATTGGGCATTATTATCACCAAAAATTAACACTTACTGAGCATCAGTCAGCTCATGTAGCTAAACATATGTAATGATAATTATTTTTAGTAGTATAAATATACTTTTAAAAAATAGTTAATTAAATTATTATAAAATACTGTACATATTTTTTAGGTACATAATATATATATATATATATATATAATTTATTTTAGTGTAGATATAGATTAAAAAAACATAAACTTATCTACGATACCACTAGTTTTAGTAATTTATTGCATATCCAATAAATTAAATAATTTTTTAATCTATTATTTAAAAAAAATAAATACCATATAGTATTACTACTAGGTAACATTTAATTTTAATAATAAATAATAACTTTTAACATTTATTTTATATGACATTGCAATATATATACAGCTAACAAAAATATGTAACCTGCATGTACCTTGGTAACATTGAATTATTTATTTATGAATTAATTAATCTTTTTACAACTATTATCATTATTGTTATTATTATTACCATATCATCATAATTATCATATATAATAGAAAAATATTGAATAACTATACTATTTTGCAATAATCTACAAATATATATATATAAGTAGTAGTCTATTATAATACCACAAAAAAAAACAATTATATAAAATACTAATACACCCACACATACACGATGATAGAGATATTATTTATTGTAAAAATATAATAAATATTAATAACAATAATTTTTTTTTGAAAAAAATAATACATACAATACTTTTATATGACTGTTTTAAAACATTAAATTTTTTCAATTTAAAAATCTAAAAAAAATTATTAATATTAATTTAGCTAGTATGAAATAATATTATATTATTTTTTGTTGTTGCAAAATAAAAGTAATTATGAAAATTAATATAGGTACTAATATATATATATATATTATTATATATATTATAATAAATAAAAATAACCATGAAAAACTTGACTTGAATATAAAGCAAACATTAATAAATATATTTTTTAATATTATTAATACATATTTGTTGACTAACTTTTTTTTATATATATATACAGTATATAATTTGTTGGCACCAAATATCTAATGTTACTTAATGTTAAAAAAATCAATTTATTTGATGCTAATGTGTTTGTACTAAACATTAATTAAATAAAATAAGGTATACAAAGAAAAACCACTTTTAGCCAAATTATTATTATTTTCATTGTATTTAATTAAAACAAAAGTTTAGTGTTTTAATTAAGATAAACAACAAATTGGATATTACTTCGTAATATATAAAGTATTAAAATATATACAGTATATCAATAATTTTATCAATAATTTTTTTCTACCACCACTTATATATAAAATAAATTTATATTATAAATAATATAATCGCATACTAAACTTTTAATACATATTAGGTTATACAGTATATACAGTATATATATATAATACTAAGTTTTTTAATGTTTGTTATCATTGGAATTGATTTAATATATTTTATTTTTTGTTTTATCAGATATTTCTAAGTCATTCAATTAATAATAATAATAATAATAATATACAATATTATTATTAATTTATTTTTGTGTTATTGAGTTTACCGGAAACTTATACCTGGATTTTATTGATTGCCAAATATCTACTTAAAATATTTTTACTAATCATTTATATTTGAAAATTAAATATATTGCAAAATATTTTTTTTAAAAAAAGTTAGTTGAGATTTGATAATATACTAATATTTAATATTTATACTATATATAAAATTTTTATTTATTAAATTTACAATATATTAAATTATTTCTATAGTAATATAATTTGTTCATGTACCTTTTTTCATTATTATTATTATTTATCATATTTAATTTGTGGATTAAATTTCTATAGGATTTAATTTTATCAAATAAGAGTTAATAAAATTGGCTTTATTTTTAAATATTTTGTTTAGTAATTATTATTATTTTTTTGTGGAAAAGTTTTAAAATAAATCAATTTATTGTATAAACCACTGTATAATACAATGACTTATTAATATAATATTAATCCGATCATTAAAAATAAATAAATAAAAACTAATAAACAAATTCATATCAAATC